AACTAGTAAGAGAGTTAGGCAAACATGTAAGCGATTCCCGTCCAGAAGCAGGTTGGAATGTGTTGGGGATGTTAGATCCCCAAAATTCGCTTGATAATGCCGTATTTCGGTTTTCACGTTCGCCAGCAGGGGCTGATCAAATGACCTTGAGATTTCAATTCCCACCAGGAAAATCAATGGCTGTGATTGGCTACAGTGTATTTTAGTATGCTATTTTCTTAACTGTCTCAAGGACGTTGTTATGTTGTATAAATAAACGAGAGTTGTATGCTTGATTGTACTGGGATTGCTGGGTGCTTGTAGAATATACTTCTACGCCTACAAAGTCTTCTATTTCGATTCTGGGATTCAGGGTAGCCTTCCTGGAAGCTGGTAAAAGTCTCGTTCGCGTTTATCGACTAAGGTAAACTCGTAATAGCCTCAAGCATACTAAGTGACGAACTTATCAGTGGCGACGGTGTTTTTGGAAATATGGATCCTGCCAAACTTGAATTACTACTTGAGCAGCAGCTGAAACTGATGCAGATGTTGACAGACATGAAGATTTCCCCTTCCACACAGCCCAGCTCATCTAATGCAACCACAGCTCCGTCGGTCGACGGCATCGCAAATAGCATATCTGAATTTCATTATGATCCTGATGCAAATGTCACTTTTGACATGTGGTTCCGGCGTTATGAAGATTTATTTAAATTTGACTTCGCCAACCAAGATGATGCTTGGAAGGTTCGGCTGCTACTTCGAAAGTTGGGCGCAAGTGAGCTGGATAAGTACTGTAATTTGATCCTGCCTTTGAACCCACGAGATTGTTCGTTTTCTGAGACTGTCCAGACTTTAAGCCAACACTTTGGAGACAACTCGTCACTATTTAATACTCGTTATCGATGTTTGAAGCTAATTATGAACGAAGATGATGATTTTCTTACGCACGTGGGCATCGTCAACCGTGAATGCGAACGTTTTCGGTTGAAGTCTTTGTCGGAAGACCAGTTCAAAGCCCTTATACTCATCTGCAGCCTCCAGTCGAGTAAGTTTAGTGACATTAGAACAAGGCTACTAAGTCGGTTGGAGCAAGATCCAAAGCTTACGCTTAATGATATGGCTCATGAGTACCAACGTCTCACTAACCTACAACGAGACTCAACTATAGTTCAGAGTGGTAGTTCAAGCCGATCTGAAATTCATTTGGTACAGCAGCCACCTAATCATTATAAGTCTGCCCGTGCTACACCCAGTTCACCCCGCTCCAATTCGGCCCAAAAATCCAAAATGAATCCACCTTCTGCTTGCTGGCACTGCGGTTCATGGCACTATGTACGGAACTGCCCATTTAGGCAGCATAGATGCAGGAAGTGTAAAGTCATCGGTCATAAAGATAACTTTTGCCTACAGAAAAAGCCAAAGCGATCCAGAAGTGCTAAGAAGCCTGTTCCTAGATCCAGTACCAATGCATTGAGCCTAATATCTTCCTGCCAAAGCTCATCACCAGGTGAGAGGAAATTTATTACTCTTAATATTAACGGTTATTTATGTAGAATGCAAATAGATACTGCATCTGATGTCACTATCCTCTCACGCAAAAACTGGACCAAATTGGGCAGCCCAAGCCTGCAGCACACAACACAAAAGCCTCGTACAGCATGTGGTAATTATCTTCGTCTGTTAGGACAATTGGAATGTAAAGTTGCTTTCCGAGATTCGTCGTTTACTGGGGTATGCTATATAACGCCAGCTGATCTAAATTTACTTGGTTTAGATTGGTTCGACCAGCTAAAATTGGCTGATGTCCCGCTAAATACCATATGCAGCCTGGTATCACAACGACATGACCCAGAAGTGTATACGAAGAACCACGCAGAATGTTATCTGACAACCGCAGTTCGCGCATTACCGGTGTCTGCAACAGACATACAAAATGCTTCTAGAAACGACCCCATCATCAAGATGACGATGAAATATGTCACTAACGGTTGGCCGTCGAAAAAGTTTGAAGGTGACATGAAGCAACTGTATCAGCGGCGGGAGTCACTATGCATCGTCAACGATTGTCTGATGTTTGGTGAAAGAGTAGTGGTGCCAGAATCCCTTCGTGCAAAAGTGCTGAGACAGTTCCATCTTGGTCATCCTGGGATTAAACGAATGAAGTCCATAGCCAGGAGTTATGCATACTGGCCTCACATGGATCAACATGTCACAGCGTTGGTTGAAAAATGCATCCGGTGTCAGCAGGCGGCAAAGATGAATGCCGAAATTCCGCCGGTTTCATGGCCCAAACCTGAGCATCCTTGGTCCAGGATACATGTCGACTTCGCTGGCCCAATAAATGGAACTATGTATTTAATTGTCGTCGACGCCTTTTCTAAATGGCCGGAAATCAGCCCCGTTATGCCGCCCACTACAACTAAGACTATACAGCTCCTAACTGAAATTTTCTCACGAAATGGCATACCAGATGTGATCGTATCCGACAATGGCTCTCAATTCACCTCTTCCCAATTCCAGAATTTCTGGCAACGGCTAGCTATTAAACACTTACGCTCGCCACCATACCACCCGCAATCGAATGGGCAGGCGGAAAGGTTTGTGGATACGTTTAAAAGAGCACTGCTCAAGTCAAAAGGGGAGGGGACGCCAGCCGAAACGTTACAAAATTTCTTGTACGTCTATCGGACAACACCAAATGAATTGTTACCGGAGCAAAAGTCCCCAGCTGAAATCCTGATGGGAAGAAGATTGAAAACGATCCACAGCCTGATGCATCCGACCAATGCACTCTCATCAGTAGAGACAAAGCAGCAAAGACAATCCGCTTACGAGGTGGGATGCCCTGTGTTTGCCCGCGACTACAGAACGAACCATGGTCCTTGGGTAGAAGCGAGAGTGGTCAGAAGGGTTGGTCGAGTTATGTACGAAGTAGAGGTAGGAGGTGATAAATGGTCACGTCATCGCAATCAGATACGCAGACGGCTAGCCCCAGATCGCCCATCAAGAGCAGAAAGCCTTCCCCTTGACATCTTGCTTGATACCTTCAACCTACCGAGAGCCCCGCCACGAGAAGAAACTCAGCAGCAAGCTGTTCTTCGTTCACGAAGGTATCCCCTCAGACAGCGGCGAACAATAGTCAAGATGCAACTCAACCACAGGAGAACACGCTATTAAAAAGGGGAGGAGTGTTGGGGATGTTAGATCCCCAAAATTCGCTTGATAATGCCGTATTTCGGTTTTCACGTTCGCCAGCAGGGGCTGATCAAATGACCTTGAGATTTCAATTCCCACCAGGAAAATCAATGGCTGTGATTGGCTACAGTGTATTTTAGTATGCTATTTTCTTAACTGTCTCAAGGACGTTGTTATGTTGTATAAATAAACGAGAGTTGTATGCTTGATTGTACTGGGATTGCTGGGTGCTTGTAGAATATACTTCTACGCCTACAAAGTCTTCTATTTCGATTCTGGGATTCAGGGTAGCCTTCCTGGAAGCTGGTAAAAGTCTCGTTCGCGTTTATCGACTAAGGTAAACTCGTAATAGCCTCAAGCATACTAAGTGACGAACTTATCAGAATGATATCAATAGGGCTGTGGAAACAGCAGTGATATCTGCTAGTAAGGTAAACCATATGCCCAGTAAGAAGCCATGGATTTCACTAGCATCCACCGAACTGATGGATGCTCGGAAACTCATCCCTGCTGGCTCTGAGTGCGATGAGGAGCGGAGTCAGATCAGATGCATGCAGATAAAAAGCCTTCACAATGATCGAGAACCGTGGTGGACAGTGGAAACAAGGGAAATTGAAAAGTCAACGGCAACAGTAGGCAACTATTCAGACTTATCAGGGAAACCGGTATTAGGAACCCGAATGTGGGTGAAAATATCTCTGAAAACGATGGTCTTATGATTCATTCTCAAAGCAGGAGACTGAATCGATAGGCAGAACACTTACGGGATCAGTTAAACTGGCACTAAGCCTTACTTCCGTTACCCACGATCTCCAGTTATCCTGAAAAGGAAAGCGACGTAAGTCCGCCTAGTTTTTATGAAGTTGAGAAAGCTATAGGAAATATGAAGTGAGGGAGAGCGGCGGGTCCTGATAGGATTACTCATGAGATTTTTGAGAATGGTGGTCCGGTTGTATCACCTAGATTGGCCGAGATCTTAGTTATAATCTGAGAACAAGACGTAATCCCATCCGACTGGTCTAAATCCCTGGTTGACCCAATTTATGAGAAAGGACAAAAGTCTTCTTGTGACAGTAACAGGGGAATAAGTCTAACTAATGTAGTTTCTAACTTGTTAGCCTCAGTTATCCTTAGACGCCTAACTATAGCTCGTGAAGAGCAGATTAGAGAAAACCAGTCTGGTTTCAGACCTGCTCGTGGCTGTATAGACCACATCTTCACACTTAGACAGGTCCTGGAACACAGACACACATTTAGACGTCCGACAATAGTAGTATTTTTCGACCTTAAAGCGGCATTTGACTCAGTGGATCGTGAGGTTCTGTGGCAGTGTCTGTCATTGACAGGTGTACCAAAGAAGTACATTAACCTTATACAAGCTCTCTACTCGAACACCACTGGTCGAGTGAGAGCTTATGGCCAACTTTCATCTGAATTCTCTACATCAAGTGGTGTCCGTCAGGGATTTCCACTCTCTCCATTCTTGTTCAACTTTGTCGTAGACATCCTCTTATAGTTAACATTAAGCTCGTCAGATTTTTCAGGGGTTGACCTTGTACCAGGCGGCTCGCTTATTAATTTAGAATCCGCCGATGACATAGTCCTACTTGGTGAAGACGCTGACAAAATGCAGAGTCTTCTGACCACCCTAAGCAACAATGCGAGCATGTTCGGGATGCGGTTTTCCCCCTCGAAATGCAAAATGTTGCTTCAAGACTGGGTTGGATCTGCACCTGAACTAGTGATAGTGAGTGAAGTAGTCGAGCGTGTAGACCGCTTCACTTATCTTGGGAGTCTCATCAGTGCTGATGGCCTGGTGACTGACGACATCTCATCTCAGATAAAGAAGGCTTGATTGGCTTTTGCCAACCTGCGTCATTTATAGCGCAGGCGAGATATCCGCTTACTAACCAAATGACGAGTGTACTGTGCACTAGTTCTCCCAGTCCTACTATACGGATGCGAAACATGGCCGGTAAGAGTAGTGGATTTTTGTAGGTTACTAGTCTTCGATCATCGATGTCTCCGAAGCATTGCTCGTGTATAAGCAATGCAGTCGTTAGGAAACGGGTACTAGGTAAGGGTGGCAAATCAATAGATGAGTGATTGAAACTTAATCAGTTGAGGTGGCTTGGATATGTGTTGCGTTTGCCTAACTACCGACTACCTGGTCGAGCTATATTCTACAGTGTCGGAATAGGTTGGAAGAAAGCTGGGGCCGGCCAAACCAAAACATGACAGAAATGCATGAAGTCACTGACAAGTGGTCTGAGTCACATTGGTAGATGTAGGCTATCTGGTTGAGGTCCGCTAGACGAAAGTCACCAATCGTTAGAGACCTTGAACGACATGGCTCAAAATCGTTTGCAAGGGCGCAGGTGCATCCACTCTTTGTGTTCTCTCTAATTCTAACCTTCTGAATTCATCATCAGCTGTATCTTTCTCTTTCTAAATTTACCTCACTTATTATACTTCTTGAATAAAATCTCGAACCCTAATGTCTGCGATTATATCTATTAGTTTTACTACCTCCACTACTTTGGGATTTGATTTGACAATAATATCTCTGTACTAACGTGGTATGGCAACTTAAACTGCTGTACTTGCGTGCAGAGTTCCACGTTGCTGTTGATGATGATGATGATGATGATGATGATGATGATGATGAGTGGGAGATTTGATGTCGAGGTATGCCATCATAACTGATATTGCGACATTCTCCTTTGACGTTAAAAGCCCTTCGTTCTCATAAGTTGAAGGCTCGCTCCCTTTTGCGTAGCTGATCGGTCCATTCTCATGCGAAAACTTAGTCAGGTCCGTTCTATGCTAACACTAATTAAGAAACGAATTGAAATTAAGGAACAAATCAGAAACCAGTGACACAATAAAATGAACGCTTGCCTCAAGAGAGCAAACCGACGTTCTAATAAAGAGTAGCTTGTACAGAAGAAAAGCGTATTTGGGAGCATAATAAAAAGGAACACGAAACGATGGGGTTCAAGGATCTTCCGATCGGGAAACACGAAATGGAAATAGTGAGAGGTGTTTTGGAGCGAAAATAGGAAACTCAAATCCCCAAAAATAAAATACAAAGTTTATAGGACTACCAAACGATTTCTTAGAATCAGGTACTCTCAACAGTTTAATTGTCGGAAAAGGTCATCAGTCTGTTTATTTTTAACAGTTGTTTGACTGTGACCTATTCTAGGCGATTCATAGTGGCCATCGACTTATTTCTCTGCGGTAAAATAGCTTGATAGTCATTACCTTACTAGGATATCTCAAGGAGTCAGTATCGATTTGAAATTTCTGGATGCTTGCAGCAATTCAACGATCTTGGAGTTGTTGAAAATCTTGTTACATACTCAATCTGTATGGACTCGCTCTTCAGTGATTGATTGAAGAATTTTCAAAGCTTCCAATGCATGATGGAAGTGGTGTTCTCTGAAAGTTTTATTGTGGCAGAAGTAGTGAGTCAGGAGAAATGTAAGGTTCCTTGCAAATGAAGACAGACTTGCCCTGTGTTTGTTAAATATACTTAGGTCCTCATCTGAAACGTGGTAAGCAAAAGCTTCTGTGCTGTCGAAAATTGTTTGGATCATTTGACCCTAACCCTTGAGAGCTGAGGAAGAAATCATGAAAAAAGTGCTGAAGGTGGATAGGACACATTGCGAAAATCAGCCAAACGCATCAAGAAGCAAGCTCTCACTTAGAACTCTCAGCACCAAACCTTTTTTCATTGAGAGTCGTCGAAACCTGGAATGTTCTCCCAGCCGAGGTGATCACAGCCCCCTCAGTGGACAGCTTTAAGAAGAGACTTGATAAACACGTACTCACATACGGATTATAATCTCCCTCGTGGACAAGCTGTGTATGATGCTTGCATTGAGACTTTCTAGTTGTTATTATTGCCATCTCAGATCGAAAACTTAATCTATCTCGCCTATTATCTCTGTTTCCTCTCCTTTGCTTACACCTCGGTCCTGTCTCACAATCTTCACTACCAATTAATAAACTAAATTGTCTATTGATTTATTTAGTTCTGAAATCCTCTTCTTATTAGCATTAGAATTTTCTCATTATTATTCTCCCCATTGCAACTAACTGATCTCGGTAACTGCTGGTATCCGGAAACCCTACTCCCCCAAAACAAACGTTTTCATTCAAGTCACGGGACATACGAACTCACAACCAAGTGCCAACTGACTAGAATTAGATAGTCGAGTGGCTGGACTTACTTCCATTGGGTACCACCAAATACCCGTAACCGTACCGAAAGAACTAACATCGAGGGCAAAGAAATCCGTTGGTTTATACTGGCTCGTGAAAAAGATATTGGATATTGGAACCAAGAAGTACACTGTGCCCAGAATCGGAGACAGAAATGGAGAAAACAAATAGAAACTGTGCAGAGGTTGAACGAATTGCTCAGGACAGAGTTGGTTGGAGAATGCTGAGCACGGCCTTTGCTCATCGCGTAGGTAACTAACCTTCACATCTGGCGGTTGAGGCGGGTTATGTGGTTGTGAAACATGCTTTTATTTATGTAGCATTACCTAGTCTTTAGTCTTTCAGTCTCTGGCTTTTGTTACCAGGTAATGTTTAAACAACTCTTAGTCATTATTACTCATTAGCTACCTACTATAATCAATTTAAGTATGTTCTTTTTGGTAATAAAACAAACAAACTAGTCTAAAAGTGCTCTCGTCCCGATTTCAGATTTACATATCTCTGCGGCGTCAAATTGTCCTCGAGTTAACTTAATGGAGTTGCTTGTGTACGACGTTCATCCTCACATTGCATTGCTGCGTGAAATATGTGGTGAAACCAATGAAGAATTCGTTTTTGATGACTCAGATGACGAAAGCTACTTAAAAAGTCTTGATCCTAAGAACTGGAAAGACCAGGATCATTATTCTGTCTTGGGACTTGGAAAGAAACGCTTTCTGGCTTCCCCCGATGATATCAGAAAAGCATGTATGTTGTCTTCTGAATACTAACTGTATCAGATCGTAGAAAAATTCTAGATCACCACCCTGACAAACGTCGTTCCAGAGGGGAGTGTGTTCAAGATGAAAAACTCGATTACTTTTCATGCATAACCATAGGTAAGAACAAGTCCTTCATGAGTTTTTTTAACATGTCAGTAAATTCCAGACTAGTTATGAAATGTTATGGTATCTTTATCCACGCTTCATCCAGGACCTAAGGAACACATCTAGTATTCCTATGTGCTAATGAGTCACTTAGGTCTAGTGCAAAGTTTTCTCAGGAACCTGACCTTTCTCATGTACTTTGCACTCATCTACTATCAGTTGGTGCTTTTCCCAGTCAGTAACAACGTAGAACTTCGTACGTAAGTTCAAGTTGCCATACCATATTAGCACAGGGACGCAATTGTCAGTTCAGATCCCATAGTGGTACAGATAGTAGAAGTATTACTGGTAATGGAGCAGATCAGGTTTCCAAGATATTCAAAAAGTATAATTCATTCAGATAAGTTTAAAATGAGAAAGGTAGACGTGATGAATTCAGAGGGTTGGAATTTGAGAGAACACAAAAAGTAAATGCACCTGCGCAATCGCAAACGATTTTGGGCCATGTTGTTCTTTTCTAGTTATTCTAAAATTATGACTTGTAAGGGAAGTAGTTTATACTGTAAGTCGTACTTAGTATACATCGTTACATGCCGTCTGTCTCAGTAAGAATCTTAGTGACCTTCATTTTTGAAGATGCATCAGCGCTCCCTAGCTGAGTCGTTTAGTTCTCTATGTTATCGTAAGTTACAAGATAAATTATTCAGTTTCATAGTAAAGGGTTTCTGACTGAGTCATTTGGTTGCGTGTCGTGTACCACTTAGATTCGACATGCGAAATGAAGTAACAGTAGGTAGGGTCAACCCGTGAAACTTACTCATCAGGTTACTTTCTTCGGTTAGACACGCGTTGTTGCTGGACACAAGGTCTACCATACTAGTGCATGCTTTGCTTTTCTTTCTTTTAAGATTTTAAAGTTCCCATTAGATCTGCACTAACTGAATATAACTGCTGTCTTATGTCGTGGCGTAGATAATGTTAAACTTCATACAGTTGTAAGTCAGGCTGAACTCACAAAACACATGCGCATTCAAAAACAGGATGTATGAGGATGTAAACATTTAGCTATAAGGCAATGGATTTTTTAAGCTTATTTATGTACTTCGTCAAACGTCATTTTATGCTGCTTCATGCTCTATCCAGCCAGCACGTTTTGTAAGCTTCAATGAAGTTTTAGAAGCTGTAAATATCCTAGTCACTATTTCTCCCTATAACTGCAACTTACTTACTTTCGCCTGTTACCCCCAATGGAGCATAGGCCGCCCACCAGTTTTCTCCAACCAACTCTGTCCTGGACTTCCCTCTCCAGTTCTGACCAATGTTCGTTCATTCCTCTCATATCTTTCTCTATTTCTCGGCGTAGTGTGTTCCTTGGCCTTCCTCTTTGCCTTTTATCTTGAGGGTTCCATGTGAGGGCTTGTCTCGTGATGCAGTTAGGTGCTTTTCGTAGTGTGTGATTTATCCACCAACTCCACCACTTCTTCCTGATTTCCTCCTCCACTGGAATCTGGTTTGTTCTCTCCCACAGTACGTTGTTGCTGATGATGTCTGGCCAACGAATCCGAAGTATTTTGCGTAGACAACTGTTAATAAACACTTGTATCTTCTGGATGATGGCTTTCGTAGTTCTCCATTGTAGTTCTACATTGTAGCTGACTGACTCAGATCATTCCCAGTAAACCACATTTTATCACCATAATTTCCATACGATGGACTACTTAGTTTAGAAATGCTGGGTTAGTAAGAAATTCTGCATCATTCCAGGTGGCTGTTTATTTTTACTTTAAATGTTGGCTCTAGTAAAAACGAGAGGATAGTCTAGAAGATTTCTGTAAACCTCAATTAATAATAACTTTTCGATATAGCTGTATGCCGCTCTATTAAGAGGCATGATGTGTCGGAGTATATTTATTGATGAAATAAGAAACAATAAATTGATGCAAACATCTTGGACCTCTATTTTTCAAGTAAGTATGACTAAATTGTGTCTGTTGTAAGTAAGTTCCAGATACCAATGCCATTAAAAAACGGCATCAAACTACATGGGCACATACTGTAAAACTAATGTCAGAATATTATTGTGCAGAAAAATGTTTCGCGAATATTTTGTCTTGCAGTATTAGCCTTGTTATGGTGTATCAATACATTTCTATTTAGTCTGTTTTTATTTTGTGATTTTTGTCTTTCGAAATATTGAACTATTTTGTTGGTTCACCACATATAGCATACGAAATACTTGGAAATCCCACCAAACGTCTTGCCTATGATAGTGTGGATCCAGTCGTGGTAGATGATTCGGTTCCTTCTATTAGTGAAATCAAGTCCAACTTCTTCACTTCACTGGGAAACTTTTTCCATCGTAAATCTAGGTAACTGTTGCTTTTTATTCGGTCATTACCTATTAAGGTGGTCTAAAAAGCAGCCTACTCCGTACCTTGGTAACAACCATACTGATATAGAGGAAGTCCTTAAGTTTTACGACTTTTGGTAAGTTGATAAAATCGTAAACTATTTATGTGGCATTTATTTTATTTACATTTCATACCGTCCGTAGCTTGTGGATTATGTTTTATTAGACGAGTTTTCACGTTGAACTTGAAAAATTGTACAGCTAAGGTTGACTTTTGTAAATTTTCTTGAATTTTCAAAACTATTCCCCCCACGTGATCACCTGTCCCAGAGTCTTGATTTCCGGTCCCGTTATCTAATTTCGAATTCTAAAGTTATGTGGTGTTGTGCTTCATATTCCCTGGTACGGCCAAAAGTGTGTAGAGTCCACTCTCCTTTTCGAAATGCTCTCGTATGGCCACGGGTATATAGCCACTGGAAGGAAAGTCCTAACCAATGACCTCTCATGGCAGGGATATTCTCTATGGAATTAATGAAAAAAGCTAAAGTCCAAAGCTTAAACTAGGTTGGTGGGTACTGATGATCTAATTTGGGGAGTTTGAAAACCCTGGTTCCAAACCAATTATGCACATGGCTCTTGGATCCTGAGGAAACAAATGGCGTATGAACCTAATGTTGGTCAACGGCTACTATGGGGCCATATCTGCTAACCCTAACCCACTACCTTGTGGATTAGACTTCCAGGTCAAAGACTTGAAGCATGACCGTCTAAGAAAACCCCCTGCTTCGGTCTGTGCACCCAGAAAATATCACAGCCCACACACAAGGTGCATATATAACTGGGTGCCCCTCTGTGCTAATGTTTGTGTTTAAATCAATAATATAATACGTTAAGAAGATGCAAACACCATAGCTTAGTAATTTAGTTATATTTGTTATTAGAAGTGGTTTAATGTAGTGATAACGTAGACTATATAGCAACATTAACGTATTAATTAATTTATATTAACAACTGTATATTTCAATGTATTTAAACTTGACTATTCATCGAATAGGTAAACGATAGATAACTCTCTCTATATATTTTGGTGCCCTTTTGTACCAGTGTCTATGTTTAAATAAATACATAGTAAAAAGGGGTGTTTCGCTTTTTATAACTCTTGGTGTATTTTGAGATGCACGTTCATTGGCCTCATATTATTACTTCTGTAGACTTTTCAGTTTAAATATACGACTACTAATCAAATTGTTAAGCATTGAAATTTATCAAAGCATAAAATATACGCTTTAGCAAACGTCACATACTTAGGGTGTTTTTTCAAGACAAAATAATTGTTATTGTTGCTTGTAATGTTGATGAAATTTGATGTAGAATATCAATAGTTACAGAATAATAACATAGTTAATCATTTTTAGACACTTACATGAGTATATAACAACAATAGTATTTCCTGAAGCATTTAAGAATTCCATTAACAACACCCAATGCTAGTTGTCTGAAGGTATCCTCTACATAAGTGTAACGCTATGCATGTACATTTTTTTTATTGAAAGAAAAATATCTTGTTTCAATTTTTTTATAGGGAAGAATATGACACCTGTCGTGATTACTCATATTTAGATGAAGAGGATAAGGAAAAAGGTGAAGAGTACGTTTCTCAATGTTACCCTTCTTTTAATAACTTATTCAAAGCCATTGTATGCTTAATGCAAATTTAAGCTTATTACCGTTATCAAGATTCAGTTTTATTTATAACTAAATGCAGATGTTTTTAACTCAAAACAGGTTAGTTTAGACACTATGTCAGAAAAAAGGTACTATATTTTATGACTAATTAGTCATAATTGTCACCAGCTCATCTATTTGGCTTTTTAATCAGTCGTCAATATAATTTTTCTAATGCAAAATGCATGCATGTCGATAAATTCATTTGATAAAGGTATATGTCTTTTTAGATTAGTACTGTACTGTGTTTCATATGATTTATGTTTTCGCGAAAATTGCAACGGAACGATTTTTTGTTTGACTTGCTGAATTAAATCCATTTTAACCCCTATTTACCATGAAATTCTATATAATATAAAATGCTCAATGCTTCTCATCATGTCAGTCATAAAATCATTATACACCAGAGAGTAATGGAAATTAATTTCACTCCATTCCAGTAATCCACATTAATACATTTCTCTGACCTATTTTACTATTGAATATTTCGCATATGGTTTTATAAGCTATACCCTAATTTTCTAATAGTACCGTAACTAAACACATGATACACTACAACGTATTCCAAAATGTGATTACATATTGGACCCTCTGATAAATTCGTTTAGGCCATTCACTAAAAGATGTTTAACATTTGTTAAAGCTTATGTTGAAACTTCTTTTTTTTCACGCAGTGTATATATAATATTGTATTCAGTCGATTATAATTTCACTCCATATGGTAAGCAAGATTTTGACATAAATAAAACTCTCACCATTGGAGAGTATACAGAGTTGTAGATTTAACTGCTAATGTTTTGATCGAACTATAAACTATCTTTAAATAAGATAAAGTGCAGTTTGGATTTGCGACCTAATGATTGGAAGTTAAATGCTTTAACCATTAAACCACTCTTATTTTGTCTTGGTGAGCGGAGTACTATTTCTAACCCTTGTTCACATGGTATGGATTAAAGTCGACTACACATATGCAAACTAAATAAATGAGGTTATATTAGCAACAGTTGTTAAAACAACTTTATTTGTTTTTTGTCCGGATAATAACTTAAACTTATGACTCTTGAAATAACCGAGCATTTCGGCATTTTTATTCAGCAAGGTTCTTTTTACGAGATGGGGTTGCCAATCGCATCCTCGAACCTCTTTTATCCGGATTTAAGACCAGGAATAATCCTGAAAGGATTCTAGGTGAAATTGGACTAGTTAGGTTTCGTACGTAAGCATTTACGATTACAAAACTAAACACTTATTTATTTACCGTGTTAGAAAACCAAACTTGATGTCAACTGATTATTCAACCCTATTCTTTATGTTTATAGACTATTATTTGCTTCCATTTATTTAAAATTTTCTCAATAAACTAATTAGCTCTACTTAACAATCTGTTTACATCTTATGGAAAGTTCTAATTGTAAGTTGATTTAAAGAGGTGAACTCTTCAGTCTAAGGTGTCTTTGTAAAGTTATCTATGGAATCATATTTAAAATTTTCCATAAATTAACCCTCTATTGGCTAGGATAATTTTACATTGGTTTTCAGGCAAACCAAATAGACTACCCGTGTTAACATTTCAATGTGAACAGTTTGGTTCGATTCCGTGGTGCAACCACACATGTACCTGACACCCTGGTGGACTATTCACACCATTTATATACACTAGTACGTATATAGTGATTATTTCCAATCCATTATCGCTTCAATCAATATGCACCGCATGAACAGGCCGATTCGACCCATCCCGCTTACATGACTGTCAAACTCATTATACTAGCAATGGTGAAATGCAATACAGCACCCCAATGATAACGGCCCTCGGGAATGTTGCAAAACAACCACCAGTATCAGTGAAATCAGTCACCCCGCTGACCAATTTCGTATATGGACTGTTAGCAATACTTGCCAAAGCAATTCCAAACCATCTATAATGTTCACAGCGAACCTCAGGTCTCACAGGAAACCACCATATAGCAGTATAGCATATGGTAAACACATAGTATGGCATAGGATAGCAAGAGATGCAGCCCAGCTTGATGCAAATGGGCTCAAACACTCTTATTACCCTTTGTCTCATGTCGGATAATGATTTTATCGCAATACCGAAATTTTCATTTTTCAACTATATGAGACCTGAGTTAGGGTTAGTATCCCTTATTGCTTACTAAATAAACGTTTGTTATCACTGAATATCCCGTATTTCATAGGTTTAAAAATGTACCCATATTACTAAATTTTGTGAAACTTTTACTTGATATTGAGATGTGTGCAAGTTGCTTAAAAATATTTACATTTCCACTATGTACAAACCTATGCCATGTAACAGTAATTTTAAGAACATGCTGGTTTTCTTAGTTTGTAAATTTGATTCAATAGCAATGGCTAACAATTCATGTTTGTTTCAGTCGAGAAACAAGACGTGCAATAGAACGACAAAATCGTAATGAACGGGCACGTCGAAGGAATGAAGAAGTAAGAAATGTTCGAAATATAGTTCTTCTTGCCAAAGAAAATGATCCACGAATTCTAGCTGCAAACAAGGCTGCTCGTGATGCTAAGGAAGCTAAACGTCAGGCTCGTTTAATGGCTGCGCAGAAACGACGTGAATTAGAGGAAGAGGTAAGATAATAGATTTTTTAGGTGAAAGTGTGAAAATGTTATCTTGCATTTCTCACAGAAAATAAGAATACTCAATGCACATTTTAGTCTATCACATGCCATCTTGTCTAGCTTGCACCAGAAACTAATTGGTGTAAATCGGTCCATTAGTAATTTCTTTATTCTAATAAAAAGTTTTATCAACAGCCGTTCAAAGCGCAAAGTTTTTGCTCCATAAAAATAATACTTCCAAAGTTTACAACACGTTTGAAAATTAGAGGATGTTCCAACATCGTAGAGTGCCTCGGTGACTGTCCCTACTTTTACAATAGGTTCGCGTCATCTATGTAACAACTATTGGAGCACAACTTTACTACCAATCGCGTCCAAATTATCGGCTTTCGTCGTAGATTGTTCTAAACCCTACGAAGATCGATTCAACAGGCTGATTTTCATTATGGATCAGGATGGACTGCTCATGTATTCACCCCCCCCCACTAAATGTTAGAATACTGCCATACTTATCACAGACCAACAATTGTTATGTTTCTTAAAATTAAGGCCACCCGTTCGTTGGACAAGACTGTCTTCTGGGATTGTCTTTTGAAGAAGGGTGTGAATGAAATGTTCATTAAATTACTGGAGGCCTTATATGCAAACACTTCATTCAGAACGAGGGCATACGACAATCTTTCTCCATTGTTTCAATCAAGCAGTGGAATTAGGCGCGATTGCTCTATCTCACCATTCCTCTTCAATTTTGCCTCCGATGACGTTCAGGAAACAGCTCTGATGGATGTAGGTGATAGTAATTTGGATCTGTTACTTGAAGGACTTTTTGATTCTGAGTATGCAGATGAGTTTGTATTACTGCGTGAAGATTCTCAAGCAATGCAATCTGCACTTAGTCAGTTAGCAATCAGTGTCCGTAGGCATGGCATATGCCTTTCGCCACCGATTTTTGTGGCTTGAACACTTACTATGAATATCGTCCCAGTGAATTCCACATCGTGGATTATTTACCAATGCTGTATCTGGTTCGGAAAAGCAGAGAGAGGGTCTATGTATGGCATGGTGTCGCAGTGTGAAAGGAAGCTCTAGAGGACTGGCATCTGTTGGTCCTTCAAAACCACCTAGTTTCAGTCCTAGAGATGGCACAACTCAGTGGCTTGAGACATTATCACAGATGGCTCAGAATAGAAGCCAGTGGCGACTCTGCTCTAACCTTATTACATTTTCTTCACACAAGTAAGAGAAACTTCTTTAACTAAAAAGATTCTTCCTGATTCTATTTTCCTTAACTGAACTGTTTTTCCCACTATTATTACTACTATTCCACTTTTATACATCAATTTCTATCCATTTTTTGCTATACTCACTGTTCTTTCCTTATCTCTGCACAGTTTCACTCTCAATTGTGTGACAGGTATATATTTTCGTGCCCACTTGTACTAATATTGGTGCTTTAAACTAAATGACAGCGACATAATTAATGCTACTATCTAATGACCCATCATTTAAATACTCGTCTTTTCACATATATTTCATATAAAGCTTGAACACATAATATTACTACCCTTTCTGATTACTTTTCAATCTACTATTAATTAATGAGGAAATATTACTTATCGTGTTGATTGTTAACTTGCTTCCGTAACTATAGCAGTATTACTACAAATATACGTACAAACTACTTTTCAAAAGTAAGTAACATGTACAGCATTGTGGAAATTCCTAATGGTTATTGGCACTAGTCATAATAGACAAGTTCCTGAAGTTTGTAGGTTATGTTTCTTAGGTATTTTCTCCTTATCAATCTCTTCTTCCCCCCCCCCCCACAGTTTTCTTACTTTTATTACCTTTTGCGTCTTAAATCTATCGTTAGCAAAAAAAACGTGAAGCGGAAGCTACTGCGCTTGCACGTGCTGCTAGTGAAGAGCGTCGCAGGTTGGAAGCTGAACGTGTTCGCAAAGAACGTGAGTTAAGTCGCAACGAGGCTAAACGTGAAAGGCGTCAATTGCGGAGCATCCTTGTTGAGCGGTTTAATTATTTCCTAGTTGATAAAGAAACCGATACATCTGAATCAGGATCTCATCAAGTAAAAATTTTAGCCGATATGGATTTGTTATGTCAGCGTTTGTCGAATGCTCAGTAAGTCACCTTGATTCATATGACAATATGTTTGAGATTTCGTTATTTTCCTGTATAATTATGATTAATAATTATTTTGTTCGATACTTTGTGTTTGATATAGTAAAAAATCTTCAAAAGAAAATAATGCAATACCTTCGTTCGAATCTAAATTTTAGTTTCGTAGCACCTAACGCAACTACCTTAACCTAATCAGTTACAACTAAGTTTTCATCTTCTGAAAACCGTACTTCTCCCACCAAAATCGCTCAATCAGTAGTTCTATTACATAATAAGGACTCTAATCGTATTCGTAATCAAACGTGAAAGTATCTCATATATCTACTCCTAAACAACTGTCTATTGTATCTTAGCATGAATTACATCACTTCATTATATGTATTTCGTTCTATGAACCGAGAATTCGCTAAGAGTAAAATCGACGTGCATCAACCGAAAACACCTGAACCGTGACAAACACGCTATTAGAGCTTACGAAACAGTGATGTTCAGTAGAATTCTAAAAGATCACAATAATTCATATCCTATTGTTCATCAATATACAAATGTAGTTTGTAATTAGGTAATGCGAAACTCCAAATTATCATCAATTTTCATTTATTGCGTTCAAAATAGTGAACTTTGGGTTGTTATTCTATCTAGCATGACTAGAATATCTTCGTACTCTACACTATCTCTAGGTATAATCTTCATTTATTTCACCTGTATAAATAAACTTTATGTCCACATCCTAATATGCGAAACAATCCACATGAAAAGTGTTGTCTAACAATTCATTAATATACATGTGTGCAAAATTTTAGATCTTTCTAGTGTATATTTCACTTTCATAATTGACAATGGAACAAATATCGAATTTATAAATTGTCATATACTAGTTTTATTATCAAAGTGTCATTCACAAATAATTAAAACTACTTTGTTTACTCCAACTTGGACAGCTGATTAACATCACGATTTATTATACTTACTTACTTTACTCTACTTATGCCTGTTACTCTCAATAAACCAAAGGCCGCCGACCAGTATTCTCCTGCCTACTCTGTCCAGGGCTTCCGTTTCCAGTTCTGTCCAATTTTTGTTCATTCTCCTGATGTCTGTGTCCATTACTCGGTGTAATGTGTTTTTGGTCTTCCTCTTCTCCTTTACCTTGAGGGTTCCGAGTGAGGGCTTGTCTTGTGACACAGTTGGGTGCTATCCGTAATGTGTGTCCTATCCACCTCCAGAGCTTCTTCCTAATTTCCTACTCCACCTGAATCTGCTTTGTTCTCTCTAACAGTAGGTTGTTTCTGATGGTGTCCGGCCAACGGACCCAAAGTATTTCACGTAGACAACTGTTAATAAATACTTGTATCTTCTGGATGATGACTAGTAGTTTTCCAAGTTTCTGCACCATACAGTAGAACCGTCTGAACAATTGTAATGAAAATTATGACCTTGGTGTTTGTAGATATCTGTTTTAAGTTCCAGATGTTGTTCAGTTGAAGAAATGCTGTCCTCGCTTTGCCGATCCGCGCCTTCACATCTGCATCAGATCCACTTTGTTAATCAGTTTTACTGCCCAAACATGTAAAGGTTTTTGAATCTTCAGAAGCTTCTCCGTCAAGTGTGATATGGTGCATGTTCTGTTGTATCCGAGAATCTTGCTTTTCCCTTTATGTATGTTGAGACATGCTGCTGTTTAGGTTGCTGCTACACTGATTGTCTTCTTGCATTTGTTGTCACGTGTGCGATAAAAAAGCCATATCATCTGCGAAGTCCAGATCATCCAGCTGCATCCTAGCTGTCCATTGTATACGGTGCTTCCCCTGGGGTGTTGACGTCTTCCTAATCCAGCCGATCACCAGGAGAGGATGTAGTGTGCCGATTATGGGCGTGTTCTTACGTTTCGTAATAAGCTCGTTCAGATTGTCTTATCCAAATGACGTCTGACGGTTAATAAATCAGAAGATGAATTCCAAGTATCGTATACGTTTATTGTAGCACACCACAATAAGGATAGCAGACCACAGACAGACCGGGCAGACACACTAGCGAGCGAATGAGCGAATGAATTAATAAGATAAAAATGTTCGTATATATACAAAGGAAAATGTCTGAGTCATCGTGGTATTTAAGAGATTAATATTAAAGCGAATAGGATGCGTATGTGCGTAGGCGTTAAGCAATGCTCAGTCATATCAGCTCATACAAACCAGATAATAAAAAATAGCAATGGTACATACAAGTTGTTGCTAAGCCAATGGCTTGGTTAGAGAAATTAATCAAAAGGGCTTAAGCAAATTAAATGTAAGCGGATGCAAATAAATGTGGAGGCACTACAAGGGAAACGGTGAGACTAAGCAACCTTGCCTGACACTGGTCTTCACTTCAAACAAGTATGCGAGCTGCTCTCTCTACACGATGTTGCAGTTTAATTCATCGTGAGAACTCTGTCTGAAGTTGACTATATCCTCAGGTACATTGTAATGTCAAAGAAGTTGATGTAGAGTGGTGAGTTCCATCCAGTTGATTGTTTCACAGTGACCCGTAATGTTGCGATTTGGTTGGTACACAATCGATCCTTACGGAATCCAACCTGTTGATCTCGAAATCGGGCGTCTATGGAATCTTTCATTCTGTCAAAGATGTTCCCTGGTATTTCAAGAATAGTGATGCCTCTGTAGTCCTACACTTGCTGAGATCGCCTTACTTCGGTACCTTGATCAGGTGTCCTTTCTAGTCTGTTAATACTTGTTCCTAATCCCAAATCTTGCTGAAGACGATGTGAAGTATGTTAGCAGTTACTGCCATGTCTGTTTTCTGTGCATCTGCCGGAATGTTTTCAGGTCACGCTGCTTTGCCGCTCTTGATTAGTCTGATGGCTATACTGATCCCTACAGTTTTTGGCGGGCCGAAATCGATTAGGAAGTCCGTGGGTGCTGCTTCGACGTTGGGTAGATTCAGTGGGGCGGGTCGATTCAAGAGTGCTCCACTCATCTGTTTCGCTGTTCTTCAGTGTTGCTGATTACTTTGCCTTCCTTGCTTTTCACTGATTCTTCTGTTTTACAATAGTTTTCAGCGGGCTTCTTTTACAGCTTTTTATGCTGTCTTTGCTAGATCTTCCACATATTTACGTATATTGGCTCTAATGCTCCTCATCGCATGCTTGTCCGCTTCTGTGTATTCATCTTGTCCCTTGACTTTCTCCGCTATTGTTTGGTCGATATTGATTGCTGTCTTCTTGTTCCTCCTTTCAGTTTTTTCAAGAGTACCAACAGAGATCCATTCCCCGTGATGCTACTTCTTGTGGCCCAGAAACTCCTGACCTGTTGAGTTGCTGGCCTCCTTGGTCGCTTCACAATTGTTGTCCATGGTAGTTTCCTTTCGATTGAGTAGATTGTGCAAAGCGTGGAACCCATTGCTGAGGAATATTCTAAATTTATTGAGCTTTCCAGTCTTCCGAAGAAAGGCCGTATTAAACCTTTGTGATGTTGTGTCCAGTGCTTCTTGAGATTCAGTTTCATTTTGGTGACCAACAAGTGGTGATCTGAGGTTATGCCAGCTCCTCTCTCGGTCCTCACATCCTCCTTGGTCCTTCTGAACTTTTTATTGCTACAGATATGGTCGATTTGGTTTGCAAATCTCTCACTATTTTCGTTCCTTTCTCCCAGTCCATATCGTCTCATGATGTCTTTATATTCAGTGTTGTTCATGCCAACTTTGGCATTTAGGTCTTTGATGAGTATCTCTCGACTATTGACTGCAGCCTCTCGTAGAATTGATCTTTAACTTCATTGTAGTTGTTGGTAGGTGCATAGCATTGGATGACGTTCATTGTAATGCCATCTTTCTTTGTTTTGAAAGATGCTTTGATGATCCTGCGTCCATAAGATTCCCATCCTATAAGTGCTTTTTGTGCTTATTTGGGCAGCATCAGTGCACCTCCTTTTGTATGTGGAGCATTTTCTTCTTCATGGCTAGAGTATAAAAGCAGCTCTCCTGAAGCTAGCCTTATTTGTCCAACCTGTGTCCAATGCGTTTCACTAATTCCAAGCACCTCGAGGTTGTATCTTTTCATTTCACACTCTTAGCAGCACAAGAGCTCTCGTGGGATCTTCCTAAAGTGTAGATTCCTACTATTTATACCTAGTCATGTGTTATATGTGGTAAGTTCAAAACTCACCTTCATTATTTTTTGGATGATTATCTAACGATTTTAAAGAATGTGTTTTAAATTAGATATTTTAAGAGTATGAAATTGCTTGATGTATTACACATTCACCTGTGATATTCATATTTCTAAATTAATACTGATATTTTGTACCAGTTGTTTCATTAAATGCTGTAGTTAATTGTATTTTGTAAGTGGACTCGACATTTCTAATGCATATTTGTCATTTTGTTAAAAAAAGGAATATTGATTTATTTGCATGATATATAAGTTTGTGTACTGTGTATAAAAATATATATATTGTCACAGTTCAAATGATCAGTTATATCTATTTACTGATCTCCATATTTTGTATTTACAACAGGTTGCATGAATTAAATGAACATTTAGAGCAGGCTGATACCTCTAATCAAGCGCATTGTATTTTCTCATCCAAGGTTTGTGCCTTTTTCTGCGAAACAGTTTTTAAAATAAGCAAATTAGTTTATAAACATTTCTGTTATCGTCTCCATGTAAACAGCTGAGTGCCAAAAATAAAGTTATTTCGAAGTGATTTAGTGATTAATACTACAATTTATTCATTTTTCCTAGGTAGAATCAGTTAAACGTGAGCTACAAGTAAATAATATTCAGTCACAAACTAAACTGAAATCTGAAGAGAATTCTCCTACAGAAAGACAAACTAGTGCTTCTAAGTGGACGGCTGAAATGATTCAGGTTTTGGTTAAAGCAGTCAATATTCTTCCAGCTGGAACACCCAAACGGTAAACGTTTAACAATTAAACTTAAATCGTTTATGGTACTTTTTCTAATTATACTTGTTACACACCATGAAGCATAGGTCACTGACCAGCATTCTCTTGCTAACTCTGTCCTGGGTTTTCGTTTCCAGTTTTTCCCAATCGCTATTCATTCTTTTCATTTCTGTCCCCAACTCTCGGCGCACTGTGTTCTTTGATCTTCCTCCTTTCCTCTGGCATTGAAGGTTCAAATTGAAGGCTTGCTTCGTGGTGCATTTGTGAGATTTCGGCAATGTGTATCCTATCTCCAACACTTTTTCTTAACTTCTTCCTTAGCTGCAGTATCTTGCGTAAAGAACTATTAGTTTCATGTCTGATTTCATTACTTCACCTGATATGTTGCCTGGTCCTGCTGCTTTTGCCGCTCTTGATTTTTCTGATGGCCATGCTGATTTCTTCAATTGTTGCTGGGTCAACATCAATTGGAGGGTCTTCCAGTGCTGCTTCAATGTTGGGTGGGTTAAGCAGTGACGGTCTATTCGAGAGTGCTCTACCCACCTGTTTCGCTACTCCTGAATGACAGTAGTTGCTTTGTCTTGCCTGTTCCTGGCTGGTCGTTCTCATTTACTGTATTTCACAGCAAACGTCTTCGTTATATCCTATAGTTGTCTAACGTTTCCTTCTCTGGTCGTTCGAGTCTATCACACTTTCCAGCAAGCTTCTTCGTTGTATCGTACAATTGTCTCAAGTTTCCTTCTCTCGCAGCCTTTTCGGCTGGCATTGCTAGATCTTCCACATATTTACGTGTCGGCTCTAGTGCTCCTCATCACTTGCTTATTTGCTTCTGTGTATTCAACTTGTGCCTTGAATTTCTCTGCTCTTGTTCGGCTGATACTGGTTACTGCCTTCCTGCTACTCATTTTTGTATCATATTCAGAGTATCAAAAGTGATTCATTCCTTATGATGGTGCTTCTTGTGGCCCAAAACCTCAGGGCATGCTGAGGTTATTGCTTCTCTAATCTCCTTACAGTTGTTCTCCACGATAGGTCCCTCTTCCTTGAGTCGATCGTAAAAGATGTGGAATTTTTGCTGAGAGATATCTTGAATTCGTTGAGTTTACCAGTATCCCGAATATAGGCTGTATTACACTTTTGTAATCCTGTCCGACCAGTTTCCCAGCGCTTCTTGAGTTTCAGTTTCATCTTGGCCACTACCAAGTGATGGTCTAAAGTTATGTCAGCTCCTCTCTTTGTTATTACGTCCTCCATAACCCTTCTGAACTTTTTTTGATGCAGATGTCGTCGATTTCATTCTATGTAATGTGATCCAGTGAAACCCCTGCGGCTTTATTAATGCGTTTGTGTAGGTAAATGGTGCCACCTATAATTATTTTTTGAAAGCGCATCGGTTTGTGAATCTCTCACTGTTTTTCCTTCCTTTCTCCCAGTCCATCTCATCCCACGACGTCTTCATATCTGTTGTTATCCATTCCAACCTTGACGTGTCATATTGGATTTATGTTTATCGTCTTCGTTGCTATCGTTGGTGGTTGCACAGCACTGGATTTCCATCTTTCTTTGTCTTGAAGGATTCATCGATGATCTAGTCCATGAGATTACCATTGTATAAGTGATTTTTGGGCTTCTGTGGACAACAGTGCAAGTCTTTGAGTATGTAAGGCATTTCTTTTTCATGGCTGAAATATGACAGCATACCTCTTGAAGCTAACCTATTTTTCCAGCCTATGTCCATTGTGTTTAACTTATTCCAAGCACCATCAGCTTGTATATTTTCTTTTTTGCTGCAACTTCAAAGGTTCTAACAAGTCCGAACTGTTCTTATGGTATTACTCATTGGCTCTATTTCTTTCTCTCCTACTCTTTTGTTAATTAATAAATAGAAATTTTTTCAGTATCCATCGCTTTCACTCATCATATTCGCAGTACATGATATAGTTTGCCGCGTCCCCCTGAGACCAATTGGCCTTCCCAAATTGTCTTTTTAAAGTATTCTTCCAATCAGTGCTACTGTTTGGTAGTGTGCCAAAAGTAACCCAAACTGTCATGTTCGATTTGGCACGAATTTTAAACACTAAAAACACCAATATTCAATTTCAAACGTTATTGGAATAAACTGGCTTTAATGTTTCATAAGCATATTAACGATTTTGCTAACAGCATGTTATTAGTGTCAGGAATATAGTAGAAAGTAGGCTATAAAAAAGCTCAGTAATGGCGATTATCAGGAATTCACATATTTTTGGAGATGTGTGAACATTTCCCTCTTCTCCAATATTCATGCCGTGGACGGATATTACTCAAAGTATACGCAGATCTATCCAGTCCTACCAAAACTGATGTACAGACCAACATTTACCCACTTAACTCTCAACTGTTGTGTCACGGTTACCGCACTTATTTCAAATTGGTGCTTCTTAAGGCTAAGTACATTAGCTTGTAGTTGATTAGTCATTTGCCTATATTCTCTACTAGACTTAATATTTTTTAGATACTTTTCACCAAGTAAATCTCTAGAACCTTACATTTACGGTATTTTGTTTTTACTAATAATTGAAATTTTAAGTTGGGAAGCGATTGCTGTCTATGTAAATCAACACATCGATGGTACCGCTGTATCTAGTAAGGATGTTTTGAGGCAAGCAAAACTGTTAAAAGAGGAAGGTAAGTCAGCCTTTTTTTGTTTGTATCTGTAGACAATATTTTAAGATAAAATAACGTTACATGTAATGATAACTTTCTTGATATAAAATAATGATATATCAGTGACGTCTCATCGGCGTTTTCCTGTCTGCATTCGCGTTAAAATTTTGTATGCATCACCCTTAGCTGTCATATTCAATTTTTTCTCGTAAAGCGATCAACAGGCGTATTTTTAAAGTCACATCAATAGTAAAAAATAAACACTCAGTACCATATATATCCTATACGAAAACTTTCACTGGTTTTCATGAAATGTAAAACAACCTCAACATCTATCCCAAAACATTATTTTGATCTGATGATGATATTGGAGAATAGCTAGTTTCATTCTCAATAAATCATGTGGTTAGGCAAGTTTAAATCTAGAAATCTATTCAAAACATTTTTTGATTGCGTAGCTAAATATTAATGAATTAGCTCATATAATTCTAACATTTATATAATGCTGCATGTGTTTATACAGAAGAAAATATTGTTTAATTGGTAATAGTGTGGTGTGAGCTACTAATAAGTAGTATATGACGTGAGTGTCAACGTAATGTCTGGCAGCAGAAGATGGGGGAAGATCAAGAAAGGAAGAGTGGGAACACAATGGAATTTGTATGAAACGCATGAATAGTGACAATGGATTGATGTTTTGCAACTGGAACAGTCCAGTTCGATAGGATGGACTGATAATTTTCAAATTAACGATTTACGATATGGTTTTCCGATTTCACTGAGTAAATCTGTAATTTTCGCTAAATACGATTCGGTTGCCCCACCTGTGTTCTCGTTCACTACAATAGTATTGACTATAGACTGTGAATAAGTTGACTGTCGAAATGTAGTCTCCAGCTACATACTAACGTGATGTATTTATTAATGGTTTGGATTATCGTATGGTTAATATTTTCACCTGAATTTCGATCACTATTAGTTAACATACGTGAATTCTGTACTGATTACCTCGATATAGTCATTATCAAATTCCAGAGTGAACATCAAATGTAAAATACAAGTACATCTAGCTGATGAGTCCAAAATAGGACGAAATACGCATCCTAGTTTTACACTGTTAGTCATATTCTATCTAATACATATATCACATGTATTGATTGTTATTCATATACACCTGGTTTCCTTGTGTTTAGTTTTCTTCTTAGAATTCAACTAGTTACACGTAATAAGTTGTTGGGTGATTACGATAGTTATACAATCGACTAGCAAAATGTTCGCAGTCCATCTGTCTTTTATTTTTATACTTTCACAGATTCCAATTTGCGCAAGACAGCTAATACTAAAGCGTTTGATTCGTTCAGTAATTCTGTTAAAGAAACTAATGCTATCAAAAATGTGACAATCACAACTCAATTAGAAGGTTTGTTGCTTAAAATAAACCTATTTAAATTCGTTAGTCATTTTCTTTAAATGATTGTTTAAGGAGTAATCATGCTACTCAATTAATTACATTGTTCTTCATCTTAGTTTCATCTTAAATCGTAAATCGTATTCACATTCTATTATTGATTAATTACTGTTATATTATTCTATTCAAATCATTCACATCTGACTTATAATCAATATAAGTAAAAAGTATTCAAACCCAGTGTATGCGGACATAAACCTAGTCTATTTGTGTATTATTTTTATTAAATTGCTTGTATCGAGTCGCATCATAGGAATAATTTAAAATATATTGCCCCTAATTACGAAGATTGTCATTTTTGTGGCAATGGCAGAAACAATCAGAAGACTGACAGCAAACGTTTGTCAATATATTAACTGCAGTTTTTCACTTGATAACGTCTCAGCAAAATTAAATTCTGTTTCCATGTTATGAGCAAGTCGCCTGAATCAGACAGTAGCTCAGAATTCGTGCTCACCAGCCACTTCCACTAATCCCACTTTTCATGAGCGACCGTTGCCTTTGGAAAAGTGTTCGACAGTTTTCAGCACTCGTTATAGTTCTCCAGGGTTACCCGATGACCCTGACTATCGGATAAAAACCATTAAAAAATGCAGGTCAATCCTGTAAATGCAAGACGATTTTGTTAAGACCTTCAGTGACAGCTTAGCACTCATACCTTTGAAATGTTTCAAGAATTTCAGGTTAAATATTAAACCTGCAGAGATCCTCGGACAGTCGTTGCTATTTGTGTTTCATACGTTTTGGATCCTGTTTGTTTAACTGTGGCCATTATTTTGGATACAACTGATCATCACATACTTCATGGAAGTGTTTTTAAAATTATATCGAACACAACCTTAACTGACGAATTAATGAACCAAGGTTGCACACGCGTCTTGTTTGCTCCTCGTGTACAGAGTGGTTTAAATTCCTATTTCTTTCATGTTATAGCCCGATAGGATCGTTGTCCTTTTTTAACAACTGAAGCGGAATGTTTATGACCTTCTACTTACACCTTTCAGAATACCTTGTGCATATCGCAATAGAATCGTAATTTCCAGTCATAATATTCTCTTGCTCGATAATCCTCAGTAGACATGAAAAATCATAGTATTATATTTGCTGATGTCAAACATTTATCTTTAATCTAGATAACTGTCCTACTTGTATATCTTAAATGAGTTGACACAAACCTACCGTTATTATTTACTCTATCATTAGCCGAAGGATCTCGCCCTTGGACAGTTGTTGAACAACGTGCCTTAGAACAAGCCCTTAAGACTTATCCAAGTAACACTGGAGATTCTGGCTCAGATGATCGTTGGCAGCTTATTGCAAATGTTGTCGGTACTCGTACTCGACGTGAATGCATAATACGGTGTAAAGAGTTAGCTGAACAGGTGAGATTACTCTTGAAAATAAAAGGTACAGATTACTTACTGTGATGTATGCGTTTTTTAAACGTTATTTATTTTTCTATCTCAACGTACAGATATGTAGATGATTTTCAACAGATTTCATTGAAACACAATCCTATCGTAGTGGACCAGTTCACTTTGAAAGTTCCTTATTTATCAATTTAGAGAATTAAGACTTTCGATCTAGGACTTACAGCTCCCAGACTTATCACTAATTTTCTCCTAAATCTGCACTGGTAACTTTAACTTTGTATTACTGTTCACGTTTTCTCAGTTTTATTACCAATGTTAGTTGCCTAGTTTCATTTTATGTTGCCTCGACGAGCTTTGTTTTACAGTGTAGGAATAGGTTGGAAGAAAGCTAGGGGCGGCCAGACCAAAACATGGCAGAAATCCATGAAATCATTGACAAGTGGACTTAGCCATGTCGGTAGTTGTCGACTACCTGGTTGGGGTCCGCGAGATGATAATAATCGATGGTTAGAGACCCTGAATGACATGGCTCAAAACCGTTCGCAATGGCGCCGGTGCATTTATTCTTTGTGTTAGCTCAAAACCCTCTAGTTTTGACTTTCTAAACTTTTCTCACTGAATCACATACTTCTTGAATAATATCTTCTAATCCTAACCTCTCCGATTACTTCTAATACCTTTACTACCTCTACTACTTTTGGATTTGAATTGACAATTATATCTCGGTGCTGATGTGGTATGGCAACATGAACTGATATACTTACGTACGAGGTTCTACGTTGCATCTCACTGACTGATTTTATGTTGTAGGTGCATATTTATCTGCATTATTTCATAGCAGTTCCTAGTCAGTATCAAGTGTGCTGACAATAGGTCATCTATTGGTTTGTCTAGTTACATAAATTTGTCTGTCTGTAGAAATGGAAATTACTAATGTTATAGCGTTAGATGTTTGCCTAAATTAGAATTACTTTTTTTGTTCAACCTTCATTTAGGTTCGTGCTAAGAAAGCTGCTTTGTCTGCGGTCAAGAAATCGTAAACTGTTCTAAACAATAATCCGAGATAATCACCAAATGCTTTGAGATGTTGAACTATCTTCATACTGTTTCAGGTTCTACATTTGGTCAAACGCTTAATGTTCAACCAAACTAGACAAATAAAGTCGGGACAATTGTTTCAGATGTTCATTATTTTGTTTTAATCTCAACTAAACTAACTGTTTTATGTGATGATAAACATTTCTAATACTGATCTACTTAGATATAAATTGCATTTTCCCACACGACTCATTTCATCAGCGATACTTGTTGATTTTGTCAGCAACCAGTGTCTTCAAATTTAACTTGTTTGAGATATCCGCTTTTCCAACTAAATTATTAGTCTCGAACTTTTGTCACGTACGATTCATACTTTTTGTACTACTGTTTAGTAAAAATGCCATATATGAAGGGCAAACTGTTTCGTCCAATCTTCATTAAAAGTTTTTAAAAGGATTGAAGTTTTTATTTCACTGTTTCGTAAGCACGATGTTCAAATATCCCACTGGATAAATATCATATACCTAATCTCTTAAAGAATATGAACAGGTCAAATAACCCGTACTTTTATTATCCTTTTGTTTTTTCTTGATTGGTTTTCGTATCATAAGAATTATTTTCACCATACATCTAAAAATTTTATATTCAAACGTCTCAGTTCTCTACTATGAAAGAAATTATGTAAGCTGGCAACTATGAGGCATGAGTGTGGGCCTTCTCCATAATGTACCTAATTTTGAACTTAATCTTGATGATTACATTTTGTGGAGCTTATTATCATGATAACTACTTTTCAACCTGGAATTAGTCGGCAGATTTCGCTTTGGTTTTCATAACACATTCACTATTAGGTACTGGGTTTCTACATGTTCCCTACAACTTGACATAGATAAGTGTACTCTAGCAGGCCTCAGGTTCAGTGGTACGCATAAACCCAAAAATTACACCAAATTAGTTCGATAAACTTGATAGTCGCAGCGTGTTTCTAAAAATGTTTTTAATAACTGTCGGAAACTATTAATCATCTGGGCTACTGAGAAGTTGGTAACCTCTAAATGCACCTCGTACGCTGAACATATCACTACAAGATATAGCTCAATTGGTTTGTTGCAGCATAAGCATTAGTAATACCCTGTTTTGCTCCTCCTTCTACACGAGTCGGTGATTCGGGAAGAGCTAAAACTTCTGACAGGTTACACAAATCACTCAACTGTTCAACTAAGGCTTCTGATCAACAAACCGATAAATATATTCCATCCCATTCATCTTTCTTCTTAATCATTAAAAATACTACTTAAATGGGGGTTTCATAACATGATTCCGACTAGCTACAAATTACTTGTGACCTAATATATAATTCACGATTTCATAAATGGCATAATTGACAGTCACTAGTACGTACTGCTTGACTGGCCAAAAGCTTGTAACTTTGTGATCATCTAAACGAATTCAGAGCTTGCTTCTCAGGAGTCTTTTCGATAAATTTCAGATAGTTTAATCAAAATATCAGTGAATCGATAAACTTGAATTAGTTAATGAATTAACCTAGACAATGACATTTTATCATAAGTGATGACAATACAGTATAACGCTGGCAACAAACCGAAGTATTCAGACCAAGGAAATGAAAGTTGCATATGATTGGAATTGCAAGAAATAAATAATATATCTGGAACAAGGTATTAGATATGTGGAACTTCGATAACCACATTCGTTAGTGAATTGGTCTGCGATTTTAAGAGATATTTAACTCGAGACTTAACTCTAGGTCGTTGTATTCTGCTAGTTACATAGGTTTCTCGAACACCAGTCAATCAATTTCATTTGGTCACTTACAGCATAGAACTTCGTACGTAAGTACATCAGTTCAAGCTGCCATACCACATAATCACAGACTACACTGTCAATTCAAATCCCATAATAGTAGAGGCAGTAGGAGTATTACTGGTGGTGAAGATTAGTGTTCGAAGATATCACTCATGAAGTAGAGGTGATGAGTAATACAAAAGATTAGAATTCCAGAGAACATTAAGAGTGCACCATCGCCAACAATTTTGAGCCACGTCATTCACAGTTACTACCAGCTCGCGGGCCCCAACTAGGTAGTCGACACCTACCAACATGACAGCCTACTTGTCAGTGATTCCATGGATTCCTGTCATGTTTTGGTCTGGCATACTCATCCACAGCTTAGCAAACGGATATCTCGCCGTCGCCATAAGTGGCGCAGACTGACAAATGCCAGTCGAATCTACTGCATCTGTGCTGGGATTTTGGCGGACAACATGCTACCAACACTTATGAGACAAGTGAGGCAGTCAACACGCCCAACCGCTTCACTGCACAATGAATTTCAAACAAACTTATTAGGTTTATGTCCAGGATTTGATGATTCGAACAAGCCATTTTTCATAATATTCAGTTGGTCGGAGATCATCATTAAAGCAAATTCTTGCAATTTATGAATGAATAGTTAAGTGCTGTAATACTCCAGACATCCTTGATCTATGTTGTAACAGGAAACTAGCGCGAGCTGATTGCCTCAGGATGATGAAGATATATATAGCAAACTTATTCGTGCCCTGAGGGTATAACATAACTACTCGCAATGTTTTCCACTTTAATATTCTAAGGAGTAGGCCTTCAAGCGACGTACACAGAGCAGGGGCAAGATCACTATTTGTTGTTATATACCAAGCCTTGGATCAGATCAGTCTGTTATCGATTGAATTTAGTATTTTAAGTGCGCAACTCAAAACTAAACAGAACAACACGCGGCAAGAATACTGAAACCTTTCTAGTACAGAAGGGAATTAATGTAATCTGTTATCTGTAATACCCGCAAACACCAAGTTTACATATTTGAGAATGCGAATCCAGCAAATTGTGGGGGACGGGTTATGTTTGATTGTATTGTAATTGTATGTCGCCTTAACATATTCGTACTTGAGGCCCCAATGCAAGGTTTCTGAGAATAAAATCAGTTGAGTTTAATTTCCACTTCACCTCAGCGGCGTTTCAATTTAGAGATGTGCTATATGCTTAAACGACTCCATTATCTATGCAGCTAGTGCATACACAGGTGTCAACTTTCGGATATCAAAACGCGTAGAACCCCGTCACTAGTTCCAGTTAATTGTAGGAAAAGCTGAGAAATTTCAACGAGGCGAATTGCCAGATGCCAACCTAAACTGCAAGCAGTTCTACAGTGAGTTGTTAGCCTTTATAACTTGTTCAGGTAGTTTGATGACAAGTAACAGTAATTTTTAGCTACCAAATTAGTGCCTGCAAAATTAGGAACTTGGAAGGTTTAAGCCTCTTGCTGTCAGAATATGAACAAAATCTAGCATACCCGTACAACACAAGCGTAAAACACTAAAAACAGTCAGTCAGAAACGTTGAAATTCGTACGTACGTATATCAGCTCAGGTTGCCATACCACATTAGTATGGAGATCGAATTGCCGATCCCAATCCTATTATAGCAGAAATGTTAGCGGCCACCCTTGGCTTCCTCCCAACCTATTTCCACATCACAAAACATCGCTCGCTGAGGCAGTTGGTGGTTGGGCGTTCGTAACCCATGTCTCAACCACCTAAACTAACAAAGTCTCGATACTCCATTAATTGATTTGCCATCCTTACCTAGTACCTGTTGCCTAATTGTTTACTCGATAGTCTTAAGATAAACGAACTAAGCTATGAAGACATCTATGATCGAATACTAGTAATCTACGAACTGTTGAGCAGTAGACTCGTCCTTCGATTAGCAGGCGAATATCTCGCCCGCGCCATAAGTGATTCAGGTCGGTAAAAGCAAACTGAGCCTTCTGTATTCGTGCTGAAATTTCATCAGTCACCAGGCAATCGGCACTGATGAGACTCCCAAGATGGGTGAGGCGGTCAATACACTGAGTTACTTTATAGCTAGTTCAGGTGCCGATGCAACCCAATTCCGAAGCAATATTTTGCATCTCGGGGATGAAAATCGCATCACAAACATACTTGTATTGTTGCCCACGGCGGTTTGAAGACCGCATTTTGTCAACGTCCTCACCAAGTACAACTGCTGTCGGAAAATTATTAATTGGCAAGTGGATCTCCCGGTAAACGTTCAACTTCTGAAACACTGGAAACAATTTATAAGGGTTTAACAGAATTCAAAATCCCGTTGGCATAATCTCAGATTTATCAATTGTGCCTGTTGACGTGAGATTTGTTCACTATTGCCTTACATGATAAAAAGCGAATGCCACTCCTGATCATAAAAAAATAAGTTTAGAAAACAGGCAGTCGTTTCAAAAATGTATTACAATCTTAGAATACTAGTACTTTTTAACTGCAAGGTTAGCATGCCAACATTTAAACATAAGACTGCTTTCAAGTGAAAGCTAGTGATGTGCTTTCCATGTCTCACGTAGTAACATGGTATCAAGTTTTATATTGCAATTGGCTACTTAACCAAAGAAATGCGATATCATACAATAAATAAAACCGTTTACAGCCTTCGGCTATATGTATGTATATATAAAGTCAAGCAATATACTGGACTTGATCATTGCAATAATCAATAAGTAGGTTGAGCAAATGCAGTAGCCATTCCCCGATGAGCACCACCACGACCTGGATGAGCACTGAAATTGCCACCACCTCGCTGACCGGTACTGCGTCTTGGACCATCTGGTGAGAGAAAAATGGAGCTGACTTTAATGTATGCTCAAACTTTTAAGCAGTGAATTACGATAATGACCAATCATGGTGAGTATCCGAAATCCCTATTTGGAGGCAGACAGATACAACGCAGAACTTCGTACGTACGTACATCAGTTCAGGTTGCCATGCCCCATCAGCACAGAGACGCAACTGACAGTTCAAATCCAAGAGTGATAGCAATAGTAGAAGTATTAGCAGTAATGGAGAAGATTAGGGAGCGAAGATATTATTCGAGAGGTGTAATTCAGTAAGATAAATTCAGAAGGAGAAAAATAGAGATTATGAGGAACTCAGAAGCTTAGAATTTCATAGGACACAAAGAGTGGATGCACCTGCGCCATTCCAAACGATTCTGAGCCATGTCATTCAAGGTCTCTAACCATCAGTTACTTTCGTCTCGCGGACCCCAACCAGGTAGCCTACATCTACCAACATGACTCAGTCCACTTGTCAGTGACTTCATGGATTTCTGCCATATTTCGGTCTCGCCGCCCCTAGCTTTCTTCCAATCTACTCCTACACAGCAAAACATAGCTCGTCGGGGCAGTCGGTGGTTAGCCATACGTAACACATGTCCCAACTACTTCAACTGATGTAGTTTCACTACTTCACCTATTGATTTGCCATTCCCACCTAGAACTCGTTTCCTAACGATAGCATTGCTTACTTGGTCGTCCCAGGATACACGAGCAACGCTTCGGAGACATCGATGATCGAAGACTAGTAACCTACGAAAGTCCTCTACTCTTAACGGCCAAGTTTCGCATCCGTACAGTAGGACGGCACGAACTGCTGCACAGTACATTCGTCCTTTGGTTAGCAAGCGGATGTCTCGCCTGCGCCATAGGTGACGCAGGTTTATTTGGAAGCAACTGATATATTACGTCTCAAAGTCACATTACTAATGCCAGCTCGAATAAACTGAGTTTGAAAAACCTTTACATTCAAATATATGACTTTAAATATAGCCTTCACAATAATTAACAAAATAGACAACAATGAAAAAGTAACGTACTTCCACGACCTCGATTTTCATTTGGAATGCGATTGCGGAAAGGGACTTTGGGATTACCGCGAGCAAAATTAGAATCCTGCTGTTCAGACTCACGAAAATTCTCATCCAATGTGCGGTCAGTTTTTTTAAAGTTCGTATTATCTACAACTGTTGGTCGATTAAAACCTGCATGCACTTGTCCAGCTCTTCGAACAGAATCCGCGTATGAAATTGGTTTGTGAGCATTGTTACCTACTTCATGCTCATCTTGAGATAATGTCGATTTAAAGGAGGTAGACTGATTGACGGTACCCGGTGATAACGACGACGGAGTTCTACCAAATAATTCAGCCTTTGGTTGTTCCACATCTGGAATCTCCAAAACATATTGCTGATCTATTGTTGTAATTAATGAGTGATCAATGTTATCTTCGACTGTGTGATCAGTGAAACAAGAAACATTAGTTTTATTCGCTAATTGATTAACGGGCATAACTTCTTCATAACTAGCTGAAGGGTCAACCGTGATATGAGAATGGTCCACTCTAGAAGCCTAAAACAAAAGCAACGAGTTTAATACTAATCACAGAAGTTTTCTAACAAAAAATTCATACGTAAGATAAGAACATCTTTGAGTAAACCTCTATAGTATGTCGAAAATTAAGCTTATATCGGTACAATAAGAGTACAGAAAGAATTTGATGCGGTATAAACATAATATCAGATATTTACTTGATCTTGATACTCTTTCCTACAAAAAAACTCGCATTCTAAAAGGTTTGAGGATCATATGATAATATACGAGAAGTACGATGCCAGGGTAAATTTTTACGGGTGACAACTGAATCAGCTCAGATTTTCGAATAATGAGAAATAAAAAAGACCTTATCGGATGCATATAACTTGATGAACAGCTAAAGCAGCCCAGAATCAATAAATTAACGACCACCTGATATTAGAGGTCATGACCATACGATGAAACTGACCACCACCGATCATATCAGATGACTGGACTTCAAACTGCCATTTCCAATATTCAGATATGACACTCAGTTTGAAAGCTGGCCGTAAACCTTCCTCTACACCTACAAAAGTCAGACAGACGAATTTTAGCCCTTCATGACTCCTCGTTTTGCTCCAGAACACGAAGTGATAATCACGGAGGGTAGTATCCAAATTTGTCAAGACTTAACGACACTGAACAAACACCATAATCAGTGTTTACAAATTATGAAAGCAAAATGTAGATGCATGAAAGATACGAACCGAGACTCTCATTGTCTGCCTTTTGACAACTTGATACCGTTATACCAATGTGAGGAATGGTGATTTCTTCATTTTGTGAAAACCAATGAATCCAGACTAATATTTTGCCGACCGATTAAGACATCGATAAACTTACTTTGATAAAAACGCCTCGAAAGAAATTTCCAAAAGATCACTAGCTACAGAACTGGCAACAAACAGTTTAACAGGAAAACAAAGGGTAGTTATGGTTTACAAAGATATCCGTCTATAGAGTTCAAGTTGTATCAATAACCGCTAGCACCTAAAACCAAACGAACTACTTGGCCATTTTGTATGTGACATGGGCAGGTCAGTTTCCCTTACAATAAATGAACAATATTTGCTGAGGTAAAACACTGTCTGGTAAACTATTATAAGAAAACTGATAACACTGAGCTTAAAAACTTGGTTTACAGATAAGCATGATTAATAGTAAAGTTCACCGCTTACTTGGATGAAGTTGAAAGTACTATTGAGAGGTCGAATAACCTGATCCACAGGTTCGCCTGTAGCAGTTACAGAAGAAGGTCCACCAATTGTTGCGGAATCATTATGGGGAGCAGCAGATACATCAGCTGGGATTGAGAAACCAATAGATGGGTTAGCTTCTGCATCTGCTACTAATGTTGGTTCCGGTACATTTGTTGTGCTGCTATCACTAATAAGACCCAGGGATTGCTGAACTAGTGAGTTAGATAGTAGTCTGAAACACAAATTGCGAACATCCTTGTAAGTAGTGTGCTTCTTCCGGAAGTCCTCTAAATCGTTTGACAGAGGGACAGGTTCTGAACTTCCACTCATCAATTTGAAGATACTTGTGGCAACAGTCCTTAGATCTTCTCGTGCTCGCAAAAAATTGGGAACAGAGGACAAGGCAGAAGAACTAAGTCCTGGCCAGTTGTCGACTACAGGCGGTGTCAAAACGTCCCGTACAGCATCCAGCAACTTAAGACTGTTTTCTGAAGAAGACTTTGCGACGGCTGCACGAACTGTCGGTATATCCAATGAAGCGAGGAAATGCTCCAAACACATATGGATATTTAGATATGAAAGAGTATACTTTTCGTGTTCAGCTTCAAGTTGGGACGTTTGTTTTTCAACTACTGACTCCATATTAGACAAAAGATCTCTAGTCTGAGTGACAATCTCTTGTACAAACGAGATATTCTGAACCACACCATCATAGCTTTCAACAGCCTTTTTCTGTTCATCTTTCAAGACCTCTCCTTTTTGAAGTTTTTCGCGATAGCCATCTAGCTTACTCTGCTTACAATCAAAATAAAAATTATACTCACCTTTCTCTTCCCAAGATTTCTTTGTCTACGTTCAAGATTAGACAGGAACTGTCTAACCAACTCACATGGAGTATCCCCCTCCAGCATGCCTTCAACACCCAACATCAGAAAAGTCTAAGCACTTGCATAGTGATTAAAACAATTCACTATCAGATGTACAATTTCTTGTTGCGAGTACTTGATGAGTAGCATACACTAGTAAGTCAATTTAGCTCAGTGTATATTTCGTATTATAAGTTTAACTTTACATCCACAATCGGAAAAACAGTCCTGAAGTACAATTTAAGGCGCAACAACGAAATCTCATTTAAGGCAGAAGATCTGTAACAGGTGGTAACTATCCATCCTTGAGCATGATAACTGATGAACAAGTAAAATATGATGCAGATGTAAATGCATGGTTAGTCGAAACACGGACTGCGTTCCTAGACATGAAGAAAATCTGGACCTCAACTATTAGCCAGCCCATCAGAATTTTTAAGCTAAGCAGCAAGACATTTGTAGGAAGAAATCCTACAAAACTAAAACTTGAAGAACGACCGAAACATTTATTGAAAATTGAGAGCAATTATGGACAGCTGTCATTGTGAAGTACTCCTCACCCACTAACCAAGCACAATTTTAAAAAATCTACTGAGGCTAAGAACAATACAACTTATAGCTAGGTAGGATATCGAGTAGAGATGCAAGTTCCAGAAGGCCCAAGCACAATGAAAAATAACAGTATACATCAAATATCAATCCCTAACATGAAATCCTAAAAGCAAGGGAGAAATATGTTGATCATGTCAGCAAGTCAGTTACAACATTGAAATTCGTACGCTCGTACATCAGCTCGAATTGCCATACCACATTAGCATGGAGATCGAATTGTCAATTCCAATCCGATTGTACTAGAAGTGTTAGCGGTAATAAAGAAGACAAGGGGTTCCAAGAAATTGTTCATAAAGTATAATCCAGTGAAAAAAATTTAAAAAGAGAAATATAAAGTTGACAAGTTCAGAAGATTAGTATTTGAATAGAAAAAGAATGGATGCACCTGCGCTATTGCAAACGATTCCAAGCCATTTCATTTAAGGTCCCTAACCATCGGGTACCTTTATCGTGCGAATTTCGACTTGGTATTCTACACCTGTTACTCTGTCTGCTTGTTAATGACTTCATGGAGTAGTGCCACGTTTTGTTTCGGCCACCCCTGGTTTTCTTCCAACCTACTTCTTTACTAAAAAACACCGCTCGTAAAGGTAGTCGGTGGTTGGGCATTGGCAACCAATCCAACCACCCCAACTGCTGAAGTCCCACCACTCCATCAATTGATTCGACATCCTTACCTAATACTCGTTTCCGAACAACAGCATTGTAACCATTCGAAACCTTACTCTAGCAACTTCTTTTTTAGATCAGTTTTTCTTAATCTCATGCTGGCTTTATATCTGGTTACTGTGAATTGATTACTCTATTAAATGTATGTCTATTCTATGTGATTGCTGAGTCTTTAGTTCACACATTTCTTTCGTTATTTCCTCTTCCAGACAACAATACTTGACGCTCCACACAAACCTTCAGCACGCAAGATACCATATAAATAAAAGCAAATTTAACAAAGGCTGAGGGTATAGTAATGGTCACTTTACGGTCTCAGGATATATGGGCAACGCTTCGACTACTGGTAACCTACGAATATTCTCCACTCTTACTGGCCATGTATCACACCCGCGTAGTAGGAAGGGACGAACTGCAGCGCAGTAGACTCAACGTTTGGTTAGACTATGGGTAACTAGCCTATGTCACAAGTGACGCAAATTGTCAGTGGGGGGAATTCCTGAGATGGTTACCATCAATCCTTTTGGGCTCCACGAATTTTCGCTTATCCCTTTGGTTTAAGAAATACAGCCCGAAATCTTCAGTTCTCGACTTTGTGTATGCTTCCGTTGATGACTGTCTGATCACTGGTCGAGACAGGTCTCACCTGCAGCTCCTTGGCCTTATTTTCCAATTGCTTCAGAAGCGCAACAGAGCTATCAGCATGGAGGAATATCGGACCGAAACCAATTCCTTTGACTTTCGTTGCACATACTAATGACACTCAAAGTATTTGCTCTCTAGAAAAGGAATTAGTGGCCAAGTTGGATAGCAAAAAGCAACCAAGATGAAACTGTTGATCACGTTCAATAAACTGGCATATTTCTGCCGGAGATTCATACTAAGTCGTGCGTCTCTCATTAGACACTAATCCTACCTACAACGTGAACTGAGAAAATCATTAATGTAGATGACACTGAGGGCAAAGACTTTTCTTCACTGAAGGGATCAGTCACCAAGTCAACTATGCTGGCACAACTGGACACCAAGGCACCTGTTAGTATCTCAGTGGATGTGTCTGACTCAGCAATTGGAGATGTCGTTTAGCAGTGGGTAAACAACACTTGGAAACCCATGACACTCTTCTTGAAACCGTTTCGAGACACCGAATAAGCGAAATATGATATATTCTGCTGAGAATTCATGGTTATAGGCTGTTCTGCATGATACTTTCAAACCTCTGTGCAAGACTGAGAATTCACTTTTCCACGAATCATAAATCCTTTAGTCTTTTGCCTCAGTTCCTATTCGGACAAGTACTCTCCAATGAGTCTCACAAGCTGAACTAAATCTTTCTGAATATGGGCTTTTCCGCTACTTTACTACACTGCCATCGTGATGTTATTTTCGTTTCTATTTTCCCACATATCCACGTATATTCCCTTCATATTATGTTGGGACACACCTCCAAACTGGTTCAGTTTAAGATTATTGCTTTCTCAAATTTTCAACTCATACCAGTCTAGCCATACCCAGTACATTGACTGTCCACGTCCCCGAACCTTCTCAAAATGGGGTTTTTAAACGTGGAAATGTACTCGTCTCATTCCAAAATAAGTCTGTCCACGAACTAATTGAATCTGCCGTTTGGATTCTGGAGATCACCAGAATAAGTGTTCCTAAGTTTGTTTTGTAGAGCGGACACATCAACTGACATACGACAAAATTACTAACCTCTTTCATAAAATCACGCGCTTTCTTAATCTTCTGTATGAGCATGGGCGACTGAACACTCTCGAAACAATCCAGTCGTGTAAAAGATGTTTCTGAAGCGTGAGAAAAAGATGGTTGAAGTTGGATGAGGTACCACAAAAACTGTGACAAATCTTCCGAAAGGTGAAGAAAGCCTTTCAGTTTTCCCAGCCACAAATCTGCTACAAAACGTCCCTGGAAAAACTCCAGCCAGGAAGGATTGACGTCTACTGTGGTTCGGGGATATAGCGGTCTTTCTTACATCGCTAACGAGTTGACAGACTTTTACTTTCTCGTCAACACTTAAAGTGCGATAAGTTCGCGAAATTGTTTACAGACAAATTCTAATGTGTTTTATTTACAGGGAAAATTTTTCTTATTTGTGGCTATAATTCGTAAGAATTCAGCTAGACTTTTAGCAGATTTTGTGGTTTTACGTTCACTTTCAATTGGATTTAGATAGATTATGGAATCTTTTGATTTTCTGCATTAAATATTGCCGTTTAGGGTAAAAACCCTAGACCAAGGCAATTTATTTATTCTGTTCTCTTTTCGCCAGAATATCAATGATTTCTATAACCGAAGTTCTCCACAAGATTAAAAAGTTTTCATTATTTCGAGAGATAGGGATACTACGTTTTATCTAGTTTTATTTGTTATAAATGACTATTATTTCGTTGTTCTTTTTCACAGCCTTGAGCATTAATTCCACCTCTCAAGGTTGCGGGTGCGTGAACTGTAGGCATATTCTGACTAATCCTTGTTTGGCGCTTTGAGAATCCAAGGTATCAGATGTTAGTCCCGATAAATAGATTTTTTTCATCTTTCGCTTTCGTTATTGCCTAATACCAGCAGTTGATTGGAGTGGTAAATGCAAATTCAATCCTCTTGCTGTTATGAACTCAGTAATTGCTGGGTCGCCGGTTCACATTTACTCTTGTTCTCCTTTCCAGCTTTCCTTAATCACACTGAACTGCAAGCTTTCTCGGTCATCGGTACATTTCCATTCTAGACATGAATTTCAAGACCCTTTATTTACTTCCTTGTTTTCACATACTTAAGTAGATTAAGTAAATTTACTTGTCTTCAAAGTGCAGTTTCTACTCGACTACACTAATTCGTGAACAGTTAGGTATTCTGTTAAGTTCTTTATCAGGTTCGAGGCACTTTGATTTTATGCTGATATACTCTAAGTTGTTATGTGTACATTCGTTAATGTGCCGACCTGTCGACTTGTAGGTCTACGATATGACACCTCTATATAAATTTGGTTAACTACTCCGGCGTACGTCACTGCTTCCAGTAATTTCGATAGTAACATTATTCCTAGTAATTACGAATGTTTGAAGAAATATTAGATTTCCTGAACAACGTTCGAGTAAAATACGATTTTTACCTAGAATGTTTAGCGATTTCTCTATGATGCTTACTGGATTTTCAGTTTATTGGTCCTTTAAAATTCCTTGACTTACGTTTTATAAAAGCGCAACACTGGATTGACTCATAAAACGGTTTATAATTGAAGACAGTGGTGGTTTTGTGTCAGTGCCTGTCATTAACAGGTGTACTGAAGAGGTACATTGATCTTATACAAGCTCTACTCAAACACTACAGGTCGAGTTAGAGATTATGGCGAACTGTTATCGGACCGATTACTTTGAGTGGTGTACGTCAGGGCTACACACTTTATCCATTCCCGTTTAACTTTGTCGTAGATATGCTTTTAGAGTTAACTTCATCTTCGTCTGAATTTTCAGGAGTGGACCTTCTACCAGGAGATTCACTGGTTGACTTAGAGTATGCTGATAACATAATACTATTCGGTGAAGACGCTGACAAAATGAAGTGTCTCCTGACTAACCTAAACAACAATGCAAGCATGTTCGGTATGCGGTATTCCCCGTCGAAATGCAAAATGGTGTTTCAGAACCTGAACTAGTGATGGGGAGTGAAGCAGTTGAGCGTGTTCACCGCTTCACTTATCTGGGGAGTCTCATCAGTGCTGACAACCTGGTGATTGACGTAATCTCAGCACGAATACAGAAGGTTCGATGTGCTTTTGTTTTTCCTGATGCCTAAAGTTAGTGTTTGCTAGAAATAGGTGGTTATCTGAGCATACTTGCAACAGACGGTCGTCATTGTCTGTTCTCTGAGCTGCGACACCATAACATCCACCTAGGTGTCTCTCCTCCTCACTTGGTCTACCTACTTGAGCACTAAAGTCACCAGCCATTATTACTACATCAGAGCGCCTAACTTTTTGAAGGAGGTCCGAAAGCTTTCTGTAGAACTCATCTTTCACCTCGTCTGAACCGCAGTCAGTGGTCCACAGCCTATCACAACTAAATCATAACTTTTTATACAGTATGGTGATCCTTCTCTATAACTTAAAGAGGTGAGGCCGTCTAAGTGTGCTTTGATTTAACGGAATTTCTCGATCGATCTTTTATATCCTTTTTTATTTCACTCGAAATTCTTAAGTTTCCGATTTCTGCGCTTGGAAAAAGTGGTGTGCACGTGATGTTAGTCCAGAACTAGAGATACAACTCACTGTTCTTGATATTTTCTTTCAAAACACTTGCTTATATAATGTTGTGGCTTTTACTTTTCAATTTTAAAGATCCACTCCGTTGATATGACTCATCCTGGTTTATCCATTATCAAGTTGCCAACCACAGATTCTTCAACCGTCAACAGCGTAACAGAGAGTGCGGGGGAAAAAGTCACTCAACGTGTTGTGTTACTTCCAAAACAGAGTAACTCAGGAAGTCAACTTGTTTGGCGTGGTGGTTGTTTGCAAAGCATTTTAAGTGATGTGCCAAGTCAAAATAACCAACCCAATGTTGGACAACTAGGTGGCAATTTTGGAGAAAATATTCAGCGAAAGGTAGTCAACATAAATCCTTTTGAGGATAAATTGTTATCTTCTCTATCAATGCCGTTGATGTGGAATCAAAATCAGCAAGATACTACTAAAAATGGGTCTTGTAATATGAATTCCAAAAACAAGAACTTAAAGCGATCTAGGGATGAGTTCAATCCTAATAATTCCGAAGATAACAGTGATTCATCTGGAGAAAAGTCATCTACAAAGGTACGAGCAACCAAACCTCGCATTCGAGCACAAACGAAACGTTCAGGTATACTACTGTTTGCGTTAGTAAAATGTAAACTCTAATTGATATTCATTATTTATAATCATAGCGTCACCTCAACCAGTGAAAATATCATTGCAGGCAGTAAATTGCTGTATGAAAAGTTGATGTTTATAATTTCGGCTTATATATTTAATGTATCAGTTTTTAGGTGAACATATAGTTACTTTCACCTGAAAGCTATTTGTTATTTTAGTTCTTATTGAGAGTATATTACCTTGTGGACTGTTACTAGTTAGAATACTTGTTTGACTACTTCTGATAAACACAGAAGAGTGAGGGTTCTAAGCGGTGACTTAATAGGTGTGGCCTGGCCTTTAACCACTAGATCGATTCCAAACCTGTTTCACCTGCTTCAATCTTGATAACTAAGCATTCTTAAACGCCGTCACAGTGTGACTCAAAGCCAAATACATAAATATGTATTTGGTGAGTTATGTTAAACTGCCCAACCGTAGCTGCTACCTTCACTTAGTGGTCAGGCTTAATTATCGTGATGACCCGACCGAGCTATATTGGCTGGAAAATACATCCCTTTAGGTTCTACCATGCCAGGGAGGTCGATTGGAGAACGGTAAGACTAATAGCAGCAACTCAAGGTCTGAGGGCGAAGTCGTATTGCTGACTGTAGAGGGGTGTGACAGCAGCAAGGTGCTCCCCTTGGACAACCAGCATCTGCAGCGATGCTGCCTTCTCACAAGGAAGGACGGAGTTGGAAAACGTCGACCCTAAAAGTGTCACACCTCACCTTACCACACTGATTTCCGTCTCCAGCGATAAAGCCGCTTGAAGAGCGGAGCTAACACTGCAATCTTCCCATAAAAAGGCAGTGTGGGACCGACCTCAAGCAATTGTCCTTTAGGGCTCTGCGGTCATGCTCTCAGGTCTCCAAGGCCAGCACTAATCCAAATTGTTTTTTTAGGTTCCTCAAGAAGCACCCTTCCATAGTGTGGACAGCCGGGAAGTGACATCCACCCTCATACCCGGGAGACCGAATCGGTCACAATCAAACCCCTCCTATACCCCCCTAACATCTCTCTTACCTCTATGATCAAACCTCACTTTCCTTTATCACATAGTGCCTCTGGCAAAAACGATTTTAATACACGAAACGTTATTCCTGGTCTGCCCGCCTTAAGCTACATGTTGGTGCTTTCAATGTGCCAAAAAGGAAAATAGGCTTCCTTATCTATGACTCTGGAATCCCGTGCCGTCAATGTATGTTGCGTCTCCGAAACGCACTTACAGAATCCTAGTAGAATCACTAATTTGGCTTCACCTTATCAAGACAAAGAACCGACTCGGTTCACACTCTGCTTCTGCTTCCCACGGTGTCGCTGGTGTAGATATAGCATTGAGTCCTAGGACAGAAGTAGCTCTTTTGGACCGGATCCCAGTAGACAGTCGCTTGTGCGCTATCAGACTAAACGGGGTAGTAAGAACTTGTAAAGCCAAGTACACTCACCTTTTGCCTCTTCGTTGTCTCTACCCACGGTCCCACTGACTGCAGCTCTGACGAGGTAAAAGACGAGTTTTACATGATGCTTTCTGACCTCCTTCAAAAATTAGGCGCTGTGATGTAGTAATAGCGGCTAGTGAATTCAGTGCTCACGTAGGTAGACTAAGCGACACTGAAAGACACCTGGGTGAATCTTATGTTGTCGTGGCTAATAGAACAGATAATGGCGACCGTCTGCTGCAATTATGCTCAGATAACCAACTATTTCTAGCAAACATTAACTTTAAGCATAAAGAAAAACATCTTTTGAGATGGCAACCCTTGAAATCGGCTCAACGATGGACCCATGCAGACCATACCGCTATCAGCCAGTGATAGTGAGCCTCGGTAGAAGACTGTCTCTCATTTTGGAGCACATGTTTAGATTCAGATCATGCTCCAATACGAGCGCGTATTTGTCTGCGTCTTATTGAGCGTAAGAAAGGAACACCAAGGAAAATCCCTTAGAGTTCTGCTCAACGAAAGCAAAGCCCCGAGGCAGCCTGGCATGACATCCAGAAAGCTGTAAAAACAGAGGTGATATCTGCTAGTAGGGTAATCCATAAGGTCATGGAGAAACAGTAGATTTCAGTAGCATCTACTAAACTGATAGATGCTCGAAAACTCACTCCATCTGTCTCCAAACATGATAAAGAGCGGAGTGAGCTTAAACACAGGCTAATAAAAAGCCTACACAGTGGTCACGAACAGTGGTGGGCAGCGAAAGCGAGAGAGATGGAAAAAGTAGCGGCAATAGGTAATAGTGGACAATTGTCCGGACTTATCGAAGAAACCGGTATTAGATATCCGACTGTTAGCTATACTATCTCCGAAGAATATGGGCATATTATTCATTCTCAATTCAGAAGATTGGATCGATGGGCAGAACACTTCAGGGATCAGTTCGACTGGCATTCAGCCGCACTTCGGTTACCCACGATTTTCAATCAACTTGAATGACAAGTTGGTGTAAATCCTCCAACTCCTAATGAAGTCGAAATGGCTATGGGAAATCTGAAGCAAGGGAGAGCAGTGGGTCCTGATAGCTTGACTCCTGAGATCTTTTGAAGCGCAGACTCGAGAAAACCATGTTGGTTTTAGACCTATGAGTTGATGTATAGACTACACATTCACACTACTTCAGATCCTAGAACATAGACACGTTCAGACGTCCGACAATAATAGTATTTCTCAACCTCAAGGTGGCATTTGACTTTGTTGATCTTGAGGTTCTATGGCAGTGTCTGTCATTGAAAAGTGTACCAGAGAAGTATATTAACCCTTTACAGACTCTCTGCTGGTCGAGTGAGAGCTTATGGCGAACTGTCATCGGAATCGATTACTTCGAATGTTGTTCATCAGGTTTGTCCCATTTCTTCATTCCTATTCAACTTTGTCATTGACATGGTTTTAGAGACGACACTTTTATCATCTCTTTTTTTCGGGCGTTGACCTTAGAATATCTGCATGATATAGTTCTATTTGGTGAAAACACTGGCAAAATCCTGAGTCATCTGACCACCTGAGGCAATAATGTAAGGATGTTCGGGATGAGATTCTCCTTCTCGAAATGCAATATTTAGCTTCAAGACTAACCTGTTTCGGTACCTGAACTAGTGATAGTGGATGATGTAGTAGAGTAAATGTTGCTTCATGATTAGCTTTGATCGGCACCCATGGACTTCGGCTTTCTTCGTCCTACTACACGGGCGTGAAGCATAACCAGTGACATGTGGACTGAGCTATGTTGCTAAATTTTGACTATCTGGTTGGGGTCCGCCAGATGATAGTAACCGACGGTTATAGACCTCGAATGACATGGCTCGGAATCGTTTGCAATGGCGCATGTGCATGCATTCTTTGTCTTTTCTCAAATCCTAATCTTCTGAATTCCTCATAACCGTTTCTTCTTTTTTTTTGGACTCCTTAATGTGGTATGACAACTTGAACTGATTTACGTACGTACGAAGTTCCACGTTATAACTGACTGACTATCTGATTATATGTGTTACTTGAACAATGAAACTAATTACTTTCTTAGTTAAGTTAATCTGTTGTTCATTCCATTTTTTGCAAATATTAAGAGCTACGACGTAGAACTTGATACTTACTTACACCAGTTAGGAGCTAGAAGCTCGAACGTTACATATGGTCTCAAAATAGCTGGACTACACTTCATATTGATGGACATATTTGGAAATATAGATACTTATTGTCTGATAACTGTTCACATCGACAAAAAATCAATAGTGTTAATTAGCTGGACGAAATAAAAATGAGCAATCATCCTATTCATTGCATGAAAATAAAAAAGAAGTAATATTGCTGGTGTGGATAGCAGTGACAACTCTAGTAACAACTTCAATATCATATACAAATGCTCTCTTCTAACTTAGCTACTCTAAAAAAAAACAAATCTTGTTAAAAAGATGTATTGGATGAGACCGAAGAAAATTAAGATTCACACTCGCGTTGGTTCAGTCATATATCAATTAATTGATTATTAAATAAAGTATTGTCTACAGAGCAATTGTCACTGAAGAAGAAAATCATAGGAAAGTAATCAATACAAGCAAAAATGCACCGTGAATTAGATAACTAATTACAACAAGAAGTTAATAAATAGAATCCACTGTGGATGATTGAGTACAATGAATGTGCGTTGAAACTGATTCAATGGAAATCAACTTAAATCGATATGTGAAATAAAGATTGATTTTCATCCTCATAAGTCGTATTTGAAGATAAAGCATCCTGAACACAAAGTAGTCAAATTTAACTTATGGTCATACGCATATTTACAGGATTTTTTTTCAGTATGCTAAATTTTAATATATATTTTAAATTTCATTACTTTACAATAATAGGGCGGAGAAATGCTCAAAAAGTAAGTCTTGTCAAACATTTGCTTGGATTACATAACCAAATAATTATTTTTCACCTAATTTCAGTATATTTTATATTCCCTAGAAGTCCTTATATATATATATATATATATTTCATGACCCATAATTTACGTTTGTAAAGTAGTTATCACTTCATTTCATCAAAGGTTGCTTACAAATTTTGACTAAAATGGTTGTAATCCGCTTCCGATTGTGCCATTACACCAATCTTAGCTATATATCTTAAAATTAGGAAACTTTTTGACCCATTCTACTTTCTTACGTCAGTCGCTGTAAACTTATGAAACGTTTCGTTACAAAGTAGTTAGATGCTCTCAAGAATTATTGATAATTGTATTTGGAAATTTTTGTTTATTTAAGTAAAACAAAAATCAATACAAGAAGGCAGCAAAATATATCTGCGTCGCACAATTAAAAATGAAGTTGTGAAAACATAAAGAAAGGACGGTAAACATTACAAAAAACGGATAGAAATTAGTGTATGACAATGAAATAATAGTAATATTAGTGGGGGATACAGTTCTTTGTCTTATCGGCTCTAACCACCAGACGTCTTGGTCCCCACTCGAACTTTGCACTATTTGATTCCGTCAGAGCCTTCAGTTATTGTTAAACTCGCAGTTGCTCAAAGTAGACCATCGTGCCCCAACAAGTTTTAAGTAGGCTGTAGAAACCCAATGCTTATGAGCAGAACGTCTCACGAAGCCGCCAATGACTTGAATTGTCATTTTCATGACGTCGTGCAATCGCAGCTAGTGCTCATCTATAATTTTGAGTGGGTTGATAGGTAGTCTTGATATTTAGTCGCAAGCGAAGCCGAAACCAACTTACTGTCATCGATCTGTTTAGGGTGATGTATTTGTTGAGCACTGTAGACATGGGATAAGACTAGTGCGAACAAGAGCATGATTGGCGTCCAGATAAGTACTCGAAAAGGAGCGTGAGACAACGAAAAGGTGTTGTTTCTCATACGGACTTCTTCTCATTTTGATAGAGTTTTGTAATCTAACTGCACGTAACCGACTAGATGGGGATGTGATCGTTTAGCGTTGTCTCGTCGATGGCGCTTAGTGCTATGGAAGTATAAGACGAAAATGGCACAGAGTCGTCGGATAAATGCACGTGAAACAAGCTTTTCGATGTGGTATTTGGAAAGCGAGTATGTATTATGCCACTAGAGTCTTGAATAAAGTTCTAGGATAGACAAGAGACATCGATGTTGCTTCTTTGGAGAGACATTGCCAACCCTACGTGTTTTTGGGATTGAATTAGTGTGCGAACGTTGAAGGGGCTGAGTTTGGACGTGATGTGTGGTTTCAGAAAGGCTGGGTCGAAATTCGTATTCGGTGGTAGCATTCAAGTTTTGACGATTTGAGATCGTCTAGACAGGACGAGATTAGAACCATATGTAGCTATTAATTTTTAGTTTGTAAAGAATCTGTCTCGTAAGAAATTTAGTTATCGTTCATGAAATCCTTAACTGTATTACATGTGTTGAAATATATACATTACAATTTAAATAATGTTTTAGTCTTATTAACTCATTTATCTATTCTATTCAGCCAGTACAACAACCCCTTCTTTTAACCTTGCGATCTTTTCATCCACCTGGAAACTTATTACTTCCTCCACTTGATCTAATTTCTAAGTTTGGTAGGTTAATTTGTTTATACGTAACCATAGCTTTTTATCGTTAATATATGTTTTTGTTTTCCCAGTGTTCCCATTAAACGTCTGTATTATCTAGAGCCGTTATTCCAGATGATGGTATTCATTACAAACTAACATCAAACAATGATACGTTTTGGTTTAGCGCGTGTTGAGTGAAGATAGTACGAATACTTTTGCCTTCTATTTAAAAAACTATTCACTTAAGTCAAGTATTTTTCCTTTAAGTACGTTTACCGTGTGTAAACAGTAAAACTGATTTCCAGTTTTCTCTGCTTTCGTGTTACTCTTATCTAACCCATATAAGGCTTCAACATTCAATCATGTCACTCAAACTACTGATCTCTAATTGGTGGAACTAAATAGATACAAACCATATTGCAGTACCGAAACTAACATTATTTGACACTTACGCTGTGTATCTAAACGATAAACGACTTTCGATTAATTGGCTTGTGCAAGTTTAACTAGCCAAAAAGTGTAAATGTATGTGCTTAACTGCAATCATTGAAGGTGTATGAAGTTTTATCGAACTCCAGTCCAAAAATTAACCATAAACCCTTACGTGTCTACAGGTGATACGCTCGCCGCAAGACGTAAATAATCTTGGTCCGGTCGCTGATAGAATCTTAGATCTTGGCTGATAATAAGTTTTGAACTATTACGGAAAAACGGTACTATTCCCTCCGGTTTTCAGTAACCTGTGACAAAAGCACACAATTAATTTAATTCTCATAAGCAACCACTTCAAAACCAATTATTCTATCCAATACTACAAATTAAATACGCCATCCGATGGGACATGTGGTAAAGCATTATACGAATGTTATGCTCGTCACCAGATGATATGCCTGAAACTATTACGAGTTCACCTTAGTCGGTAAACGAGTGACACGGTAGGCTACTTTAATCCGAGGAAGAAGTCTTAATATGGCGTAGAAAGTGTATTCTACAAGCACGCAGAAAATGGAGGTCTACAAGCACACAAATCGAGTTTATTTATGCATCATAGAAACGTCATTGGGAGAGCTCCAAAAAGAGCACACTGAAATAATACACCAATCAATAACAGCCAAGGATTTCCCGGGTGGCAAAGGTAATCTCAAGGTCAACTGATCAGCCCATGCGCTAAAAAATAAGATCCAAAATTAGGACCTTTTTCAAGTGAGTTCTGGGGATCTAACGTCCCCAACAACGAATCAGGATTAATATTGTTAATTTTCTAAATCAAATTTGTAAAATAAGTTAACAGTATGATACAGTGTATTATATTCAAGTGTATTTACTTTTACTGTAGATATTACAAAATGATTTAAAAAACATCAGTCGAGCCAATAAAAAAATATATTTCCCAAATGCATGTAATATATAATTTTTAACTATGTACGTTTTTGTCTACACAAGAAAGCATATTTGTTTAAATCATTGACTAATTGTGGTGGTGTTCGGTTCTCTGAGCTGGATGTTTTGTTTGTGGAGCTTTCATTGTTCTTCTGAACAATATCATCAGCACAAACTTCCTTCATTGACTAATATCTATTGGAAAACCGTTAAAATCATACTGAATCAGATAGTGTAGGTTTCAATCTTGCTCATAGTTGGATATAGAATAAGCCAGCCACTTGGTTACAAACATATTTATAATTCGTTTATTTTTTACTATATTATTATTACTTTTTTTTTAAAAAAAAATAGATGGCTTAGTTGCATTTGAAAATGACAAATTAGTAATCAATAATACATTGGGTGGTTTATCAACAATCAATGAAGAAAACACTGAAGATGCATCAACAACAGCTAATGCTGCTGCAACAACTTCCAGTCGAATGAAGAGTAGTGCAGGAATCAATGATATTGACTTCGAGGTTAGTTCCCATTGGTCGTCCACTTTTATTTCATGACTGAATTTTTGTTCATCATAAAGTAGTAAATTATTTATGTTATTAACAGTATGTTGTAATCTATTATGAAATTCTAACAAGTTGATTGTAAATCTTTAAAAGATAGCTGACATTATTATCGTGTTTATTTGGTGAGTTGAGTTCAATCGGTCCTAATTTATTTTTAATAAATTGAAAATACTGTAAACTTGATTAATAATTGTAGTTCCAATGAGATTTGTGCATATTCATCAAGAAACCAGTTAATGACCCAAGTCATTCTCTGAATGTATATGTAGTTATCAAACAACTGTCCAGAAATTTGTGGATTTTTAGTTTATGAAGCACTTCATCATCATAAAATTATTGTTATTCGCCTATTTAGTACAGGTTAAATTTGATACAACTAAGCACCATGAAATGTAGGACTCTAAGTCTTATTGTTGCATTACATCCACCCTTAAATTAATGTCAGCACCCCAATCAACTGATATGAAGTTAATTTCTTCGTGTTAGTTTTTTAGCTTCTTGGTAGCTATTCGAAGTGTGAATATGAAATTTTCTACTTTTAACCTGTATATAGTGCTTCTTAGTAGTTGTATTAATACTTATCGTACTAGCAAGTGTGCCTCTGTATTTTGCAAATCTAATGATATTGGTTGTACTAAACAATTAATTAAAAGTTAATGCGGTCCTTTTTAAACTTGAAAGTTTTCCATCAAAAATAATTTATAACCGAGTGGCTAACTGCTGAGCATTCCGAGAATAAAACTAAAAACTTCTTTATTGTTCTCTGGTTTTTAAGCATAAGTTAAACAAAAACATGGTAGAAAATGTAGTGAAGTAATTTATTAACAGAGCTTCAGTTTATGCTTTAGTTACAATCTTTTATTTGATTTTAATATCCACTGTCTAGTTGTCTGAAACTTCGTATGTCAAACAAAATTTTAATTATAACACAATGATTAAATGTGAAGTGCTCATCCAACAAGTCAGAAATGTAAAGTGGAGACAAATGACCAAACTATACTATTCTTACTAGATTTACAATAGATTTGTGTTATATCATAAATTTTGGTCATATATAACATTTACTGAATAATTCTAACTTATATACCTTTCATACATCAAGGAATTTAAACATTACAGGCGTCTCAATGGCTATTCACTTTTCGTACACGTTAATAAGAAAAAATATGAAACATTTCCAGGTTCGACACCTGTAGATGACACAAATGATGCCGGTGATAATATGCAAACTAGCCTTGGTGCTTCTAATATGGGAAAAGAAAACCAGAAGTCCAATCGTAGGTGGCAGGTTTGTAACCTTTGTCAATATGTGTGTCATTTTTTAAAAAATATTTTATCTTTTGTTTTAGTACTTTCATTAATTGGAAAAATGATGCGTATTCGAGTTCTTACTCTTATCATGTTTATCAAGCTTAAGCTGTCTGTGCAATTTTCATTTCTCCGTGATGTTTGACTATAAAAAACTATGCTAGCCGGTAAACATTCATTTCTTTTTGTGACACGAGATTCATTTTCAAGAAAAATTATTTGGTTTAGAAGGAACACTCCTTTCTTAAGATAAATCTATCGCAACTAGTCTTAGATCCTTCAACATTTCTGTTCACAGCGAAGGATCTTTTTGTCAAATGTTTTTAACATCTAAACATGCATAAAGAGTTTTAGAAACTTCTCCAGCTCTGTTTTTTGTTGTTGTTTCGCCCTATTTTTGGGCATTCGCAATGATTAGTGTCATTGGTTTCAATTTTCCAGTGCTTTATTTTTTAATCACACCCATCAGTTAAAAATTAATAAAAGTCAACAAAGACCCATTAAATAAGTTTTTCATCCGTCAAATGAAACCATTTCATCACATATATAAATAAGAGCACAAAATAAGCTCTTGAAATAATAAGTCGATAGAATGGTTTTAGTGAAATCTTAGTGTAGTTAAGTCTTATACGTAGACGACTTAAGATCTTACACATGAACTCAGAGAAAAAAAATCTGTGTAAACTCAAAATCTCTATCAGTTTCTAACAGTATCTACTTAAACGGTGAAACTTGGTAACTAATAATTATCCGAATTATGAAAGTTTGAATTTGAAAACCAACAAAAAAAGTTATAATTTGAAATAAAATATTTGATCATCTTTTGATCTTCTTCTTTCTCATAATCAATAAACACGAGCTAGGAAATCAAGATTTATTTACAATCGTCAACAATAAGCTTGATTACTGGAAAATACGAGTGACTAAGAAACCGTCACATCCTAATAAATACAATTTTGTAGTTGACTTAGCTTACTGTAAATGCCGTAAGAGTACGTATGGTACATCACTTATAAATTAAATTCTAAGTGCACAAATCATTGTACAATATTTGAATTTCTTTATTCAATATTAGGAAAAATAATTAATCATATGAAAAAGAAAGGAAACCTATAAAACTTAATGTTGTAGGTCAAGTTAGATATAATTGAAGGAGTTAGTTAGTGTAAATTGCATAGTATTTAATTGCAGTGCTAATATCGTATTTAAAAATATATTAGATTTTTGACATTGATTACTGTCTAATGTTTATTTTTTACAGTGATTCCATTAAATGATAACAAAAATCAGAACTATATAAAAGGGTAATTTGGCACGCAAATCTACTTACATATAAAAAGAAGTTAATACTAGCCATTTGTAATACACAGGGGTATTTTTATCTATTAAGCAGCTAATTATCCTCCTCTACACCTGTGATTAATCAACAAATCCTAACATACTATATCATGTTAATTAACATAGAACACATAGTGTTACCATGCTATCTATTTCCAGATATATTGTTGAGCTTGGTTTAATATAACACCACAACCAATTGATCGTTGTTTAAATCATTCAAATATACTTATCTGTTCATTTTTATCTAAATTAGCTGTTCTATTTATTTTTAGGCTTTATGGTTAACAATGCCAGAAAAAGTTAAACGTGAATGGAAAAACAAAGCGAAGCGTCTTTTGAAACAAATTGAACAGCATGAAAAACGAGAAGTTGTATCTGAGGATAAAAAACTACGTGAACGTGATCGTTTGGAAGTTCAACTAAATCGCACACAAACAACATTTTATAGTTTACTTGATTTGGCTGCTCATTTTCAGCTTTTAAGTGATCGGTTTGCAACATTTTCTAAAAATGTTAATGATTATGAGGTAATTAAGAATTTCAACAGTGATTGTTTTCTTTGATCAAAATATTTGTAGCGTAAATCAGTTTTGATTGATGAAATTGTTTGTTTGAAGTTTTACAATTCATGAACATTTACAACTTGTATCTAGTTCATTATTTGTTTCACATTATAATTAAAATATCAACTTGGTACTTTTTATTGCCAAAGGCTGCACCAATTTACTCTGTATTCAAATATTTTAACATTCATTTTATTCTGTGATTAAATGACCGTCAGTCAGTTGCAACGTAGAACTTCGTACGTATGTACATAAGTTCATGTTGCCATACCACATTATTAGCACAGAGACGCAAATGTCAAATCAAATCCCATAGTGATAAAGATAGTAGAGGTATTAATGTTAATAAAGAAGACTAGAGTTCGAAGATATTATTCAAAAAATACAATTCAGTGAGATAAGGTTAGAAAGACAAAGTTAGAGGTGCTGACGAATCCAGAAGATTAGGATTTGAGAGAGCTCAAAGAATGGATGCACTTGCGCCATTGCAAACGATTTTGAGCCATGTCGTTTAGGGTCTCTAACCATTGGCCACTTTCGTCTCGCGGACCCCAACCAGGTAGTCTACATCTACCAACATGACTCAGTCCACTAGTCAGTAACTTCATGGATTTCTGCCATGTTTTGGTCTGGCCGCCCCCAGCTTTCTTCCAACCTACTCCTACACCACATATTTTTATTTTACTTTGAATATCCTTTTTCTCACCTTAGCCATTCAGCGAATAAGCTGTAAGAAAAATTCCCTTTGCCCTTTCGTCTACAATCATCATGTGACCTTCGCATTAACTAACAATGTGTTAGTCATTATAAAGATAAGATTTTTCATTTGTCTAAAGTAAAAATAATAAATTCTGTTCCTTTAATCCACTGGAGAATCTTAAATTTCTCTATGGCTATAATCAGAACGGTGAATCTACTGCAAAAACCATGCAATCTTTCAGGTAGATATATTGTATTCAAGATTATCTGCAGTGTAAGTTCATTAAAGTGAAATGTTGCTTTACCATAATTGTATGCTAGTTCTTTTAGTAAAAAGTCGATTAAGTAGAAGTATCTTTATCTGTTTGATTCATCAGGTCTCCCCCGTTATACATGTTTCCTTGTTTCCTTTTGTTTTACAGGGACCAATTGAACCTGTAGGTGTAGAATCCTTACTACTCGATGGTTTACTAACATGTTTAATTCCATTGATTGCATTAACAACTGAATTGGATCCATTCACAGATGTTCCTGATCGTAAAACTATATGTGACGCTTTAACCAATTTAACTTTCATTGCGCCATTTTGAAACACACAAAATTTAGAAACATTTAAATGAATTTTATGTGAGAATACATGCATGTTATGTTATATTAAATGTAAAATATTTATGTAAATAAATTTTTTTATCACTTTTAAAGTTCTTTCCCACTTTTTTTTCAAATTCTTTATGGTTTGTATTTTTGAAACTGATTTTGTTTTACTTGTTTATAGAGCAGATCACCGTTTCTGGTAGTCTTTATTTTAAGGGATTCCCATTGTCTGACTAAATTTTATTATTATCGGATATATTATATTATATAAATCCTTGACACATAACTAGTTGACAATATCTTAAGTTTTCACTTTTAGTTGTTAATAATTACGATGATGATTTCAAATGTGTAAAAAACACTAATCTCCAAAGCTCTAACTGAAAATATCGTAACAGTGCTCACTAGTGACTAGCTTTGTGAGGAAATTCTCGGAGTTCTAGTGAGAGGACGTGACCAATGGAGTTCAACCCTGTCGGGCGTAGGCAGTAACTACCAAAGACAAATGGGTGAGGTCGCGCAAAATCCCTAGATCAATCAGAGTTAGACATTAACACCGTCTGATGCCGGTCCAGCGGTTCGATGGTTAGGCGTTGGCGCACGATACCGAAGGTCCCATGTTCGAGTCCTGCGACGTGAAGGAGTCGTGGATGATGAGTCCCATACTAGGACGAAACGGCCGTCCAGTGCTTCCAAGTTCCTAATGGTGGTCTAACAATGATTGATTAATCATTTCAAATGTGTAAAAAACACAAATCTCCAAAGCTCTAACTGAAAATTACGAGAGATGCATTTAATCTATTCCTTTGTAATTCATTGAGCACATTCACAGCGTTAGTCTGATGACAGTATTCTTTCTCATATAACTCTGCTGATTGAATCCTTTTTACATGTTTAGCAGATCTCATCTATGAATATTTATGTTCATCCTTTCAATGTTATATAAACATATCGGTCTAATTATTTGAATGTTTTTGTAGGGATTCCTACAAAAAATTTTGTTCTATTTACTTAATCGAAAAGTGATTATGGTAGAAAGTTTGCACGTTCGTCGTTCATAACAAAATAACTTCTACATATCAAAATAAGATTTTGAATTACTGTGACGTAACACACCAAGTATAGGTTTATGTACTCATCTTTAAGCCACATTATATATATGTGATGGCTGACGATACAACTCAGTTACTTAAGGAGATGTACCTGGCAGTATTTTCAGATCTGCAACTGAAAGATTGAAAGCATTGTGTCATTAATCAACTATAGATTACAAAGTGAAAGTGATAAGCAAATGGGAATTGAAGACATCATGGATTTCACTTGTTAGTCCACAACAGTTCACAACAATACCCTTTGTCCGTATTCTCAATATCTATCTGATAATATTTAGCGGATGATATTTGATGTTTGCTGCTTTTCTTGTATAGGGAAATTTTTCGTAAGCACTTGTTTCAATTATTAATCGGTCTCTTAAACAGATTTTCCTCTAAATTTATTCTATTTAGTTTTCTTCATGAATTTAATCGTAGCTTAATAGATATCCTGATGGGTTTTTAATTTTGAACTATCTGTGAAGTGAAAACTATCTACTTATAGGTGATCAAATAATAAACAGCCAGCCCAACTGAGTAAATACTTGTTCGTTTTACTTTGCTTCGAACCACAACGTTTTATGTGAGTGTTACAAATGCTTTCTAGCCTTTCAGAATACAATCCCTGGGATTTCGGTTTGAATTTACCGAATAATGACCGAAATCCAAGTATTTTCACCGTTGCGTGTAGCTCTTAGTTAAATCTTCATATCTTGTCAATATAACAGTTTTCTGTGAAGTCAGACTAATTAAACATAGAACTTTATTATATCTTGGTACTCGATCGGTCATGTCAAATTTTTTTATACTTGTAGACGATAAAAACTTTCAAATAAATTTCTAGTGTTATCTTAATGTTACTTGGACTCTTCTCAGCTTAGATTCGATGCGTAAATTCTATGCAGTTTCGCTGTAGTATTTCTCATGAAAAGAATTTATTTCGAGGATTTTGACTCCTTTTTACTTTGATAAAATCAAGCAACTTACTCTATTTTCACACCAGTTGACCATGTCACGTAGTATGGTGCAACAATTTGTAGCTTGATTATTCAAATCAATGAAAATATAGATTGTAAAAGGTACTTGAACTGAAAACTAATTTGCCATATTTGTTTTGAAATAAAGAATTTGATCCTGACAACTTGACTAATGCATAAATGCATTGATGATAACAGCTGTGACATCATCATTGCATTGGTTTATTTATGACCTCATATGTATTATTTGTACTTAAGTGCGCATCATCATGATCAGTCGAATCAATCTAAATCAACGGCTGTTACCCCTAATGGAGCGTAGGCCACCGACTAGCATTTTCCAACCAACTCTGTCCTCCAATCTCATTTCCAATTGCTCCTAGTTGCTATTCGCCCTTTTCATGTCTCTCTCCATTTCTCGGCTCATTGTGTTTCTCAGTCTACCTCTTCCTTTGACCTTGAGGGTTCCAGGTTAGGGTTACCTCGTGATACAGGTGTGAAATTTCCGCAGTGTCCTATCTACCTCTAACGCTTTTCTTAATTTCTTCCTCAGCCGGAATCTAGTTTGTTCTCTGCCACATTGGGTTGTTGCTGATGATATCTGGCTGACGGATCCGCATCATCTTGCGTAGACTTGTCAATAAACATTTGCATCTTGTGGATGATGGCTCTCTCAGTTCTAAGAGATTCCGCCCCATACAGTAGAACTGATGCACGAATATATAAAAGTTTTGAAATTTTCCAGAACTCCATTAAGTGTGATTTGGTTGGTGCATGTTGTGTTGTATCGGAGAATCTTGTTTTTTCCCTTGTGTGTGTTAAGACCTACTACTACAGAGGCTACTACTAATTCTACACTGGCCATCTTCATCTGCATTTGTTGTTGTGTAGGATAGAAGTGCTAGGTGATCTACGGAGTTCTAATAGTCTACCTGCATCCTAACTGTCCACCTTATCCCTTGAGATGTTGAGTTCTTCATAATCCAGTAGACCACCGGAAGAGAAAGGGTAGGGGTAGGTAGCCTTGTTTAATAAAAATCTTCACTTGAAATGAATAAGTGAACTGCCCTCTGTGGACAATTTCGCTGTTTAGTCCATCATTAGTGTCATCGTAGTAGTCGATGAAGTTGGTGTATAGTGATGAATTCCACTCAGTCGATTGTTCCACAATGATCCGTAATATCGCAATTTGGTCGGTACACGATCTATCCTTACGGAATCCACCCTGCTGATCTTGAAGTTGGGTGTCTACTAAATTTTTCATTCGGTTTAACAAGACTCTGTTGAAGACTTTTCCTGGTATTGAAAGAAGGGTGATACCTCTGTAGTTTTTACACTTGCTGAGGTCCTCTTTCTTTGGTATCTTGATGAGATGTCCTTCTTTCGAATTTTTTGGTACTTGTTCTTACTCTCGAATGTTGTTTAAGAAAGCATGGAGTATCTTTGCAGTTACTGCTATGTCTGCTTTGTATGTTGTCTGGTCCTTCTGCTCTACCACTCTTGATTCGTTTGATGACCGTCCTGATTTCTTCAATTGTTGATGTAATTTCATATTTATTATCAATAATACTTATTCGGAACAAATTGATGTCTTAATCTGCTAGTGTTGTGACTGAATTTCTCAGTGTAAATAGTGCTGCAGTATTCAAATACATGTGTGAGAAATGCTGGGGCGCTTTCCTCGAACAAAAAATCTTTTTGAAATGTTAAGATGTATATTCTTATATTCACATTTAACTAATCATGTTTTAGTTAAGTGAGATTATTGTATCATTTATTAAAAAATATAACTAGATGACCACTTGTATTTGTGTGCTTGCCTGAGGACCATCTTTATGTTCATCGGTCCAGCTGTTTGTTAACAGAAAGGATTTTCACCGCTAACTCAATGTTAAATGATTATCGTATCCAAACTATAAAACTGATGAATCGAAAAACGATTACTTCTCACATCTCAGATTTTAATTTTTTTCACATCCACACCGATATAGGATAGTTTTTATGGTAATCGTAATTAGTAGGATGTAAAATTTGTTACTTGACCGGTATACTACTCGTAATACGAACAATAAAAACACCATGAATAACATTTTAAGATAGGAATTAGATCAAAACTGTAAGAGGAATAAACTTAAATTATAATCATTCAAATTATATTAGGACTAGAGCCTTGTGGAAGTCTAATTTTGGATATTTTACGCTAATGTCAATATAGTGTTAAATTCATGTCTTCATTTTGAGCAAATCTTATTAAGTATTAAAATCCTCACAAACACTGATGGAACTAAGTGTTCTCTCTGTGTATTAGCTAGGCTATTAAGTTATTTTTTGATCCAAGTCCAAGCAAACAAATGGTGTTTTGCTTGTCCTTACTTCCGATTGTGTCTGTATTCCTCATAGCTAGCATCGAATACGATTCATCCATATTTGATCCCAGTTTCTGAGTCTATTGTTTGCTGATTTGAATGGTTTGTCTTGAACGCTTTGAGTTGTAATGGATGTTCTGTTTCCTTTCCTCTATGAATTATTAATTATTTTGTTTTCTAGCCTCTTGTTTATTGTTTGCACCAATTACTCTTTAAGCAGATTGGAGCGGTTGAAACAGCACAATTTTCAAACATTATTGTTAGAATGGGTTTGATTCTTGACTTATAAGTAAGATTATAATTAGCCTCTTAAAGTTGTTATTTTAGCGAATGCTTTGTCTTCTATTTACTACTTCAAATTTATTTTTAGGCGGTTAATACAAATTCAGCAAACTTCAATTCAATCAAATCAAAGTATGATGCATTAGTGGATGAAAAGAATAAAATCGAAAAAAGAATATCCGAATTAAGTGAAATACTGCATCAGGTAAATTTTCTTGACATGGAAAGAGAATTTTTTTAAATCAACTTACATAGATAGTAAATGATTCATTCTTACCTGATAAATACTTAACAAATCCTCGGTGTTTTAACTTAACAGTGAAAAATCTATAGGGCGTCTTTTTTTTTTTTAGAAAGAAATGCTTTTTAGTGTATATCTTTACTTTGAATCAGATTATGGGAAGCCAATGAAATAGGTATTTCTTGATATTACCATTTAGGACGTTGAGGAATGTGAATAGTGTATGTTAATCATCTTTCTATTGAAGCCTAGGTGAATGGAATCAGGAATGTCTAGAAATGTATGAAATGGCTAGGATGAAGACATACTTTGAAACAAATCGGTTCCTTTTGGTTGTTTTATATTAAACTTCGTTCATGATACATTTTGTTTTCGATTCAAATACTTGTTATGAACGCGATACTCGCTAGCCTTCCAAACTGGTTACTTTAGCGAGGAAACAACAGTGGGAAGTGTATCTATTTCTTCACCAATAATATACATTCATTCTTTAAGTTATTTCTGATTGTCATCAGATGACCTTATTTGGTCATTTCCGATTGGCTCACTACATCAATACTCTTCAACGATCTTTTCACAGGTTTCCAGACAGTTCTCCCCTTTTAAATATTTCTCAGTACACCTCATGTTTGCTTGTATGATGTAGCAAACTAAGCAACTACTTTATCGAGTAATCTTTTTACTGTCATTCTTAACATCACAGTTTAGGATTAGTGTTTTGATTTGTTCACATGATTAACTCTGAATCTGTTATAAAATCGTTGTAAACGCCAACAATCTATAGCTCCATACAACACTCATCTGTTTCCAATCTACCAATCAGAACACTAGAAAGATCAGCCAATTACGCTATTTGTTAAGGATGTGAAATTCTCAAATAAAACGCATGAAGAACAAAATCAATATTAATTTAAAGTGAATTTATTTTGAATGAATGATCAACTTTCAACTCATTGCCGTTAGATTACCTTATGAACTTTTAATGCATTTTCGTCATAATTTATGTTGAATGACAATTAATCGGTTCATGGATTATAATCCTTGTAATCGGTCTTTGACAGATTAACTTAGATTTATTTTTAATTTTCTGGGTTTGTCATCAGCAAAGCTTTTATTACGAAACTGGACTTCTTACGCTAGTTAGCGGGTCAGGGATGAAGGTGATAGCAGTGGTCTCGTTCACTGTATTGAAGTTGAGCTCCAGATTAGTAGCTTAGTTCACGAACATATCACTTGTGTTGTCTGTATTCTTTGTAAATATCGTACATAAAAACTAGCGCAATGACATAAATTAAAGGACCGTATGCAGGATAATCAATAAATCCCAGTATGTATATAACCAAGATATAATGCTGAGTGGCAGATTCATGATTAATTCACTGAAGTGTGTAAAGGGAAAAATATTGCAACTGTTAATGGGTTAAATAAAAGCTTCTAATTAAGATATTATAAAAACGTAGTACATCAATACACATACGTGTAGGAAAAATGTACGAACATTTTCTTCTGAAAATATCTTGATTTCATTAATACTCTTGTCATCCTTTCACCTTACAATTAGATCACCTTTTATATTGAGTTATATTTGAGATGGTAAACGTAGTAAACTCAAAATAGACTGAAATTTTAGATATTGAAGTTATCTATACCCAGTCAAAATCACTTATTTGTAAAGAGTATATTTATTCTTACATCAAGGTAATTTCTAGTTTGCCTCATGTTAAATAAAGAATACTCATTAGCCACACTTTTTCCTGTCAAATATAATGTTTTCTTGCCCATTAATTATTTCTAAATAGAACGGCAATGTTGGGCTGGATACCCCATTAATTGATGACGAAGGTTACCCACGCTCCGACATTGATGTGGCTCTCATACGAATAACACGAAATAATATCCGTTGTAAGTTTATAACCTTGATTAGCTTGGTACTTCATTTATTGTATTTAAATCTGAGAAGGAAAACAGGAGAGAAAGAGTTCAGAACTTCACTTTTAGCCCCTCTGGGGCTACTGCCGGTCCCAAGCCCGGGGAAGGGTTGGTATAGGGTTAGCTACCCCATTCCGTAGAAAACTAACTCGCTAAAAAACCGCTAACCAGGAGAAAATAATTCAAACTACTGTCAATGAATTCTCTGATTGAAGTTTATTTGTCTTCTAATCATTTGGCAATTAAAATTTTGAAGTAACCAAAATACATAAGGTTAATATATTTATTCTTAAAGAATATATTATGCTTGCACTACTTCACTAATAGCCATGTTGGCTTTATTGAAATGTATTTATTATTTAAGTAAAAAAAAATTATTTCAATGACACTAAAGTATGTTGTGTAATATGTTTGTAATATTCCACACTGTTTTTGTCGCTTGTTTTTCTTCTCAGGTTTAAATACAGATCATAAAGAAATAATGCTTGAATTGGAAACTCTGTTACACGAAATACATGAATATGCCCGTCAAAATCCTTCGAAAAATATTTTAAATGATAGACAAATTTATTCCAGTGAAAATAAACAAACTGAAGATCAATCGTCACAGATTGCGAAGAAATGTTTCCTTAAAATTGATCAGATATCATCGGATTCAATAGCCGAACAAGCGGTACGCATTTATTTTTATTTGAATGAGTGTTGTTAATCTAATGTAAACGGGAATAATAAGTGCAGTTTCATACTGTTGTGATAAGAATCCTCTATCTTTTATCTATCCAGTTGGTGTTCATTCTTAGTTCATTCAAATCTCTATGTAAAATACATAGACATTATGACTATTTTGTGTATTGTAGGCGTTATTATATAGTGTTTTGAGTATTGTTCGCGTGATAATATTGTATATATCTACATGAAAGTTTCAAAATATAAAACAAGTAAACTAGACATATTGATAATTTCACGTGCAAAAAGAATGCTGCTCTCTGTGGATGTTTTGTACGATTTCATCCTGCACACTGAATAAAGTCACAAATAATCATGTCGTCTACACTGAAAGCCGTGATACTAACAACTAATTAGTTTATTTGGTAGTTATTCTGCTCTAATTTTAGGTAGTGAAAGACAATCAGTATCAACCTCGAGACCTACATGTTGTGGCAGCTGACGCTTATCAGAAAGTTGTAAACTGATGTTTAAACCTTGAAACTAAGTGCCAACTTTCAGAGAACCTGATTTCGCCTATTCCTATCGATTCTTTCCTAGTCCTAAGACTAGAAAAATATGATGTTGATCATTTCTATATGATATGTCATTGCACTTACTCTCTTCTTAATTCTTTGTGGCTGAAGCAGGAAGTAAAACATTTAAGATAAAAATTCAAATTATAACTTATTGTACATTGTAAATGGGGCTAGTTGAGCTTTACAACGTAACCTAATATTCCAATGTTTCAATTTGATTTTACAGGGTTTAAAAGTTGGGGATCGAATAGTACAGTTTGGTTCAGTATGTGCTGAAAATTTCACTTCATTACAAGATATATCTACTGTCTTTAGAAATACATCTCCTGGTGTAAGTTAATTTTAAAAAAAGCATTACTGACTTCTATTTTTAGAAGTTTCATTAAACAGTTCTTTGAATAGGAACATTTGAGTTTATTTTAATTAATTCTTTTGGCACAACAGTTATTTACTAGTTTATAATTCTGTACTTGACATTTTTAGATTTTTAATAAGAAATATTTCTGTCCAATACCATATCTCATCTTACCGTCTGTATTTAAAATATATCTATCAGATCACTTCTTTTATTCATCGTTATCCTTATTCTACAGTGTATATATCGCCTATTGCGCTTTGAATTATCAGGGAATTATCTAACTCAGTAGTTCTGTTTTGTATGAGAAAATTAGAATTTATGGTTCATTAGTATCTTTTCTTTAATATTCACTTTTGTAAATTTAAGCCTATTAGTTTACTTAAAATTAATTTTATTTAAAGCATGGATAATGATTTCAGTTGTTGCTTTATAAACAAACATTTCCGAATGGTTTGTAAACAGCTCAGTCAGTTTTATAGTAAGAAGGTTGGTACCATCTTTAAAAAGAGCTGATGGGAAGTCATCTGGACCTGGTGGTTTGTATTGTCGGAGTTCCTGTCAGAATTCCTGGTTAAGTGTATTGATCGTCACCAGCCATAGAGGACAGCGCAGTCTGATCGGTGTAGATGGAGCAGCAGACCAACTAAAATGTCCCTCGAAAAACTGTACCCATCTTTCAAACCCTCACTGAATGGTACTAGATAGTGTACCATCAGCTTCATTGATTGCTTCGCATATACCAGACATTTGGCTACCAGTGGTTTGGATGAATTGAAAGAGCCTACATCAGTTAGCAGATAACATCTTTTATTGTTGGACTCGCAGTTACTTGAAGTAGATCAACGTGCCCCAACAAGTTTTAAGTAGCCTGTAGAAACCCAGTGCTTATGAGCAGGGCGTTTCACGAAGCCGCCAGTGACTTGACTTGTCATTTTCCTAACGTCGTGCAATCGCAGCTAGTGTTCATCTATAATTTTGAGTGGGTTGATACATAGTCTTAATATTTAGTCGCAAGCGAAGCTGCAACCAATTTACTGTCATCGATCTGTTTAGGATGATGGATTTGTTGACCACTAGACGTGGAATAAGACTAGTACGAACAAGAGCATGATTGGCGTCCAGATAAGTACTCGAAAAGGAGCGGGAGACAAGGGAAAGGTACTGTTTCTCATACGGATTTCTTCTCATTTTGATAGAGTTTTGTAATCTAACTTCAGGTAACCGACTAAATGGGGATGTGATCGTTTAGCGTTGTCTCGTCGATGGCGCTTAGTGCTATGGAAGTATAAGACGAAAATGGTACAGAGTCCTCGGATAAATGTACGTGAAACAAGCTTTTCGATGTGGTATTTGGAAAGCGAGTATGTATTATGCCACTAGAGTCTTGAGTAGTTGTCTCGGATAGACAAGAGACATCGATGTTGCTTCTTTGGAGAGACATTGCCAATCCCTATGTGTTGTTCGGATTGAATTAGTGTGCGAACGTTGAAGGGGCTGAGTTTGGACGTGATGTGTGGTTTCAGAAATGCTTATTCGAAATTCTTATTCGGTGGTAGCATTCAAGTTTCGACGATTTGAGATCGTTTAGACAGGACGAGTTTCGCACCATAGATGGGCCGCTGTGTGAGTTGAAGATCAAGGAACACCCAAAATAGGAATAAAGGAGTAAATAAGCGACACAATGCAAAGTGCAAACGAATTCTGATAAATAGTTTTGGGTATGATTAGCGAGGATGTAGTTATTGTTTGGTTTGTATGTGGTGTATGATACTGCTAGGGTGTCTGGACCGAAGTCTGTGGTTTTCCTAGGGGGCGATTCTTCGAGTCTTTGACCTGAAAGTCTAACCCATAGGGCAGTAGAGCAACGTTAGGAGATGCAGCCTCGCGGTAGCCGGTGATCAACAGTAGGTTCTTACGCCATTTGTTCACTCAGGGTCTTAGAGTCCATGTGCAGAATTGATTGGCAACCAGGGATTTCTAACTCCCCTAAGTGGATTTTCTTTTTTCACCAACTTGGCTAATGCGCCGTACATTTGCTCTTCTTCCTGTCAATTTTGTGAACAACACTTATGCCACGAGAAGTAAGTGAGTAGAACTTCCTTTTTAGTTGTTTAAAACGCGTGGCTATGTGAGATTTTGAGAAAGAGAGAGGATTTTCTGCACCCTTGGTTGTAATAAGTCTTTTTATTTGCCTCAATAAATTATTTTCAATAGCTTACATTATTTTATTTTATTCGCAACATGCTTGTGTCGTGTATAACTAATATTTCAAGGGTTTATATGTAACCATAACATTTAACTCATTTCATTACTATCATTACATTCTTCTATAGTTTTTAATAGTTTGTCTCTATTTATGGGATGTTCATTGAAATAATGTTTATTTAAAGCATCTTCAGTAGTTAATGTAAGATAGATTCGAATTTCTTTTAGTTAACAGTCATTTGTGTATTTAAAGAACTCCATACTCTTACCCAATATATCATATATTTTTGAAAGTATTTGTCGATTGGTTTTTGAAACGACACACCTTATATTGCTAATTGTGCCTCAAAGTATTACTCAAGCTACAGACATCAGAATTTGAGGTTTATCGATCTTATCGTTTGGATTGTTTTTTCTCTTCTAGTTCAGACAAATGTTGTACTTTCGTTCACATATCACTCAGTCACTTAACCAGAGTTATCGAATGAGTGTTATAATGGCACTCGATCTAATCTGTTCATTTAGTTATCAACAAGCACCTGGTTAATTTAAAACAATTAGTCCCTTTTATAAATTTTAATAGAACAGTGAGAAGATGTAATTGATCTGAAAAATGTTATGTATTGGAACAATCTGGTCACACATATACTTGTCAAGGCGCAAATACATCACATTTTTCAGATCAATTATGTCTTCTCATTGTTCTATCGAAACCTGGTTATTCGTTATGGTTATATTTATTCTTTATTATTCGCTATATAAATTTTCTATGGTGAAGAGGATTTTTTTTCTTAGATTTCATCATTGAATCCGTTCAAATTTTTATTTTGTAATATCAGGAAATTCATTTTATTCACAATGACATGATTTCAAAATATCGGGAAAGTATGTACAATAAATGTCATCGATGAATAGCAATTAATTTTCGTTTCGAAATCATATCTTCAAGATTAATTTTTTTAATATAATGTATAAACTCTGTAATGCAAATTGATACGTTTTCATTGCATTGTGTTTTTGTCGAATTTGGTCAAATTTTAATTGGTCTTTTGGTTGATTCCATTGCAAGATATTATTAGAAACAAATATTGTAGGAAGTAACGATTTTGCCTTGAATATTATGACAATAAGTTTCATAACTGAATTATTTTTGAATTAGTAATTTTCAATTAGAGTTATGGAGATTAGTGTTTTTACACATTCGAAATCATCAATCAATCATTGTTAGACCACCATTAGAAACCTGGAAGCACTGGACGGCCGTTTCGTCCTGGTATGGGACTCATCAGCAGTGCGCATCCACGACTCCTGTACCTCACAGGATTCGAACCCGGGACCTTCGGTATCGTGCGCGAACGCCTAACCATCGGACCACTGGGTCGGCATGCAACGGTGTTAATGTCTAACTCTGATTGATCTAGGGATTTTGCGCGACCTCACCCATTTGTCTTTGGTAGTTACTGTCTACAACCGACAGGGTTGAACTCCATTGGTCACGTCTTCTCACTAGAACTCCGAGAATTTCCTCACAAAGCTAGTCACTAATGAGCACATTTTACGATATTTTCAATTACAGTTATGGAGATTAATGTTTTTGCATATTTGAAATCATCAATCGGGCGATATGCAGGAGTCGTGGATGCGCACTGCTGATGAGTCCCATACCAGGACGAAACGGCCGTCCAGTGCTTCCAGGTTTCTAATAGTGGTCTAATAATGATTGATTGATGATTTCGAATTAGTAATTGTAATATGATTTGAAAAACAAATTTCTTTAATTACTGTTTTATCTGTATACTTCATAATTTCTCGTTCTTCTTTGGTTCATCTTATTTGACAATGTCATTTAGAACTGTATTCACATGTCCATTGTTCGAGGGGACGACATAAACAATGTACTTTCTATTTCGTTGTTGAAACCAACTGGAACTGTCAGTCTAGGGTGAGTCTATCATTCCTAAATATGTGTCTTTTATTCCTCGTTTTCTTGTCATTGATAAACTGTTTATTTTGTGTGATAGTTACTGAGGAATGATTCTGTCTAAATGTGAATAGAATGTAAAGACTGTACAAAAATCCTTCACAATATATCTTTTGATTATGATTTAGTTATATACTATTTCGAAATTATATCTAGTTCATGCCTTACAAATGCATACTCTTTTATTGTAATATGACGTTTCCTTGTTATTTATATATGAGAAATAGAAAATTTATTGTAACAGGAAACTACAATAAAGTCAACATAAATATAGCCGAAAATAAATACTATTTTCTTGAGAAATTTGTTTTAGGCAAAACATTATGATTTGAAGTTAACCGAAATTCTTGTTCACAATTGTTTTCTTGAAATTTCATTTCAGAATGCACATTGTTCCTGTGTGATGCTGTTCTTATTGATTGTAATGAAGATGATTTGATTTATACTTACTAGTATATGTATTTTTTTTTTGATGAACATGAGTTCTTTCTTAATATGTTACCTAAATCTATTTAACTGTCTAATTTGAATCCTTTTGAACATTGGTTAATCAAAGCAATCGTATTCACAATAACTGCATACTTTTAGTTTTGATATTGTTTACAGCGGTAACTTTATAGGTATTTCTGTAATTACTGGTGAAAATTTAGTTAAGTAGTTTCACATATTGTCGCATGGAATTCTCAGTAAAATCAGCACACAGTTAACATACTTTACCACCCTTACCAATAGTTGGATTTATAAAAAGTATGCTCTTAGTTTGTTATTTCCATTTCAAAGGAAAAAACTATTGTGTGTACATACAGACCGTATACTTTTATCTTAAAATTACTCCTGCAGTACGCTATGATAACACTTTCAGACCTTCTAACGTTACACGTATCGATTATCTTTACTCTAGGTTTTAGGTAATAAGGCAGTGTTAGACTTCTGGGTAAATTAGCACAATTGGAACTAATTGGTGGGATGTATACAAACTGACAATGGTTTAATGAGTATAGTTTCTAAGTTAATGCAATTCATTAGTACGATTAGTCGCATATGAGGACGAAAAGATATTATCAGTTTGCAGTTAGTCAGTCACTAAAATGGTCGAATCTGTAAAATAACCAGAGATTATGGTCATGAATTTTCTGCCGTTTAAAGTGGCAACACCGTAATTAAGACATGATATGATGGTATTGTTGATGGTCAGCAGACACCACAATCTGCAGTGGATAAATGTAGTGTAGCGTCTACTGATAGTTAGGAAAAGCTGGTCAGAGGGTCTTTTGACAAAGATGTTTAATTGGTGAGCACCTACATGTATTGTACTAACTAGATCGTCAAATCACCTTCGACTTTTCGAATACGAAAATGCCGTATCAAGTATCCTTCTCTTCAGGTAGGGGTTTGGAAATTCTCATGTTCATAATCTGACTTCATACTGAGTGATATGAATCTACCATAAAATATAAATCTCCCACTTAAATCTATGTTCTGCTTAGAGTAATATCGTCGAATAACAGTGGCAATAAAAGCCAAATACCAGTTGAGTGGTTTTCAAAGACGTATATGTCATACATCGGTTGACTCATACAGGCGCTATTAGAAAAGTAGCTGACGAGAAAAGGTTAACTCAGCTTTATCAGACGTGAACTAACATTTATATTTGGACGGAAAAAGACTATCTGAAGACATGATGAAGAGAGTAAGACATAAACACATGCATTCATACAGAGGCAATAAAGGCTTTGAGCATGTATGAATGAAGACTCAGAAAGATCACATTAGCTGTCATTTGCAAAATGTACCATAATCCTCATAGACATGAAATAGTATAAAAATGACAAGGAAGTACTTGGTATTCATACTGTAAATCGTGCCGAATGCAAACTGTATTGTAGAATTCGTAATATTTGATGTTTCCCTTCTAACTTGCTATTTCGCGGCTAATCCGAATACAAAATACACTAATTTTTACTATGCTCATTTAGTTGTGAAGTTTGTCTATTTCTTGACATCCAACTCGGAACGATAGTCATGCTTATGAAGCCAACTAAAGTTACTTCCGAGTGCCTCTGTTCTTCGAACTAACTCTAATAATGTACACTTCTTGCTTCCTACCGATGTAGTGAAGGAGAACACAGGTGAGGGCAACCGAATTGTATTTAACGAAAATTACAGAGTTACTCAGTAAAATAGGAAAACCATATCGTAACCGTTAATTTGCAAATCTTCAATCCATTATCTTACATTTCACTATTCATGCGTTTCATACAAATTCCATTGTGTTCCCACTCTTCCTTTCTTGATCTTCCCCCATCTTCTGCTGCCAGACATTACGTTTTCACTCGCGTCATATACTACTTATAAGTAGCGCGCACCACACCGATGCATCACCTGTGGTTGGTGATTAAGCTGTGGTACAGGAAGTCAGACCACTAATCTTTGTTTTTTATGCAAAAATACTGCTGCTGAACCGGGTTGTTCGCAGACTGAACAAGCTGTGTTTCAGGCTGTTAAACGACTTTATAAATACTTATTTGGAACGAAACCCACCACTCTTACAGATCATAGAGTTGCTAAGTTCATTTGTCATCTTGAAAAATCCTAATCACATTCCTCAGCTGCTATACTTCAACAATGGAGTACGACCCTGAGTGCTAATGACTTTAATACTTAACACAGATTTCTAAAGTCGCTTCCAGATACACCTATGGATACTAGATACTGTTTATTAGGGCTAACAAGTTTCGTATGAGATGGAATGGTGGGAAATAAAATTCAGTGGTTTTTATCCTTTTGATTTTTAAAAAAAACTAATCGTGTAATTTGTTCGACTTAACTTTCTTAACATGTAGTCCAGATGAATTGTGTAGTTACTTTTTAATCAATACCGACCCTTTTTGTATTTTGACTGGTTAGATCCCATGGATAATCAGTAGTCTTCATTAGATGGTTGCAATTGTAGGTTTATAAAAAGTTGTATCCGCTCGTCTATTTGGAAGAATGAGTTGTTTAGGTAACCAACTGCAAATACTAATGAACTAAGATAATGGTATTTTGCTCATGTCAGTGGGAAAACTGTTCAATAAATAGAACGTTGATTATTAACTATTTATAAGGTGTAAATCAGGTCGATGCTGAATGGTTATCCAAACATTCAAGACATTTAATTCTGTGTGTAGTAAGAATTAAAGTCATTTGATGTGGGTTTCCCGAAAATTCGAGATGTAAACATTGTATACCAGTATTTCATTATAATTAAGAATTTGGAGAATGATTGGATGCCGACATAATAATCGTTTTGCTTACTGTCACTGTCAGTGTAGGTATGATGTAGTTAATCACATAGACGGACAAAGTGACAATGAATAGTAGAATATTGTGTTTTAATGTTAAAATGAATCGGGGTTATGTACACTGCTTACCTGTTCCAAGAGTTTATTGTATCTACCGCGCTCTATAGCATTACTATACTTAAAAGTAACACTGGAATATGTTTGGAGATGCGACTGTTTTAAGTTTCAGTTTTTACAATTGTTGTCACTTATTGCCAAAGAATATTTTGTCATATGATTAAAATATTTAAATATACGGGAAATTTTACAAATTATTCTCAAAAAGGTTTTATGGACTTACCGAGTTTATCAGTTTTAGTAAACCCCGAATGAAGTACTGAGAATCATCATCAAAAATATACAAAGAACACACTGGGAGGTAGATGATCGAATCGAAAGACCAGTAATTATTATCACAAATTAAGTTAACAAGGGGGTAATTTCTTTCATTTATGAGCAGTCATTTTTAGATTATCCCACTAAATGTAAATTTGTGTAGGATTAATATGTTGGGGGTTTCAAAGTAAACCTCATACCTCTAAAATGTATTCGCACTTATGACATGTTATTTGTTTAGTAGTGTAGCCTTAACAGGAAATTAGTGGACATATTGTAAAGAAACATTTCGATGCTTTAGATGCATAATTAGTGCTATATCAACAGGTTTGATTGCTAATTTGAAATGTAGATTTACTATTTATCTTATCAAGAGGACTGAACTATTCAGTCGTTTTCAAAGTATTTTGTGACTGAATAATCTTTCATCATTTAGCCTTTACTGCGTAAATCTGTCCTTCAAGATATTTATAATGGATAGTTTGATGTTCGCAAAATGAGAATTTTTGCAATGCTTTGTTACGTCCAGTTTTTTGCTCGTTGATCTTACGAAGCACTGTTGTCGTCTATTTGTAATTCACGGTCCCAAATTTCTATACCAAGAACGAAACTCCAAAGTAGATACCAAAGTTTATTCCAAATCACAAATTCGACCAAAATACTTCATTACAAATAGACGACCAATGTCGTTCTAACAACAATAATTATAATAATTACAATTACCTTCTAATTTATTATCTCTTGGAGCAAAAAACTGCAACGAACAACAAAGAGAAACGGGAGTCCAATATGTCCGCAAATAATAATTCAAACAAGTTCATAAGTTAAGTAAAACAAATGTACCCAAAAACAGTGAAGTTAATGATATTTATACATGAAGGTTTTGATCAGCAAAATGTCTTCGTTTCTCCCGTAACAGCTTACAAGCTGGTTGCTAGGTTTATGTGCAGGTGTGGAGAAAATAATTGTGAAAATGTCATAAGTGGAAAAATCATTCTTCATAGAGGACTCAAAGACCAGTATCCTCTGAGGCCTGGCAGGGAATGGTTCATTCCTCCGAAAACAGTACGCAATTGTAAATATTGATTGTTTTTCTATTAGTCATTAAATTTTAACGATTTCAGTTAAATTGAACATCACAACCGAAGCATTGAGAAGTGTTTGTAGTGAGAAGAAATCCTTGTAGTATTAGCGGCTAATTACAGATCGCATTTTACTGAAGGTGCAGTAACAGCCTTGCCGAATTATATAGAATGCAACCATATGTTCAATACTTCTGGACACCCTTATTCTAATGGTCAGGTGGAACGTTTCATCTGGATTTTAAAAGCTGATGTTAACTCCAGTTCTGCATCAATAATTTGACAAGCAGATGAGGGTAAGCACATTTCCGCTGTACCGTGGAAATGCTTAGAATACTTGAACGAAAAAAATTCCATGAAGACTAGTAAAAGGCTGGATTCTCTGTTCGACAATAAGGTGTTCATAATTTTCAGATGCTGCATATTATCTTGGGATCTATTTTTCAACCATCAACAGAGTGTGTGATAGATAAGGTTGGGAAATCTATGATTTGAATCCTAAATAATATTCCAGGATTCAGGTAAGGCTGTGCAGATTTTCGTCGTCAACTCATAATAAATCAGAGAAAATACGACCCGGGTTATACTGGTTTATTTGCGTAAAGGATCTCATTCTCACGTCACTGTCAACAACATGCATCATCCACACTATCGTCGGATGAGACTTTAGACTCCTCAGACCACGCGGCCCTTGGCTTAGGATCAGATTGTAGCCTCACGCTCTCAACTACGGGGCACGAACGAGACTGCCGTCTCACGTTCAGGTCGCCAAGTACTTGTACTCATCCATTCTTGAGACTAGCCTCTCAGTAAGCAACACTGAGTGTAGGACGCTATCAAGTCTTACATGGTTGCGACAGCCTTTTCGTATATTTCGTAATATTATTTTTACACTGAGCTTACACATCCGACCATCTTCATTCCGGTACTGTCGACTTAACTGAACCTTGAGTACAGCTAGTCTGATCACCCATGCCCTTGTCAACGTACCTGGTCGATATTTTGGTTCCCATTTCTTCTGGTATGAGTGTGCCCCCGACTCTGGCTATCATGGTCGGCTTAACTTGATTTTGATTTACCTCTGTAGCATTTCCCAGCCCTGACCTTTCTTTCGAAAGCCGTCTTCATGTTTCGGATAAAAACCATTTCCTTGAAGTGTACCAGCTGGAGCAATAAGCTTGGTACCGTTCTACGTAAAAGAACTTCAGTGGCAATTCGAGGATAAGTGGTCTCTTACTGTTGTTCAACACCCACGTCCTACTGATCAGTCAGCATTCGAGCACGAAATAGTAATAGTGAAAGAAGCTCAATCAAAATAATTTATTTTCAAACTCTATTGTTCTGAGGATTGTCTACAGGGATAAAGTTTGTTACTGTTTGTACTGCCTCGCGTCCTATCAAATATGAGACTTTAAAAACCAGAATTTTGAAGTTCATGGAGAATATGATTACAAATGATGTGGTCCAATCGAATCAAAAGTATTAGTACTTAAAAGAACACTGGAAACCTTTAAATAGTTAAAAAATGAAGCCGGTTATTGAATTCTGAAAACTGTTTTTGCCGCTTTTTCAAAAAATATTGCAGTTTACGCGACTGCACCTGATATAATTTATTTTTATTTCCTGTATCACAATGAAATTATCATCTGATTTTTAACTGTCATTCTGAGTAGTTTGTTTTGGATCTAACAGTGGTAAGGCTTTTTCAATATTTATTTGAAGTGATACCTATGTCTTATATCACTCTTATCGATCGAAATTTTTAAAAAAATCTCTCAGCTTTATGACGGGTTTAGGGATACTGGTCTTGATAGCTCTATCTTTAATGGTCATGGAGAAAAATTAAACATTCATATGAATTTCAGGGCAATCCCAGGTTTTACCTTTATTCTGAAAATCGTTAAGTCAATAAGTTTCTGAAAAAACGGAATGTACATTATGTACTGGGGAAACATACCTAGTATAATAACTAAAAAATTATCAACTTCGCTTCATTAGAGCTGCCTATACTTTTGAACGCATGTAAGTTGATTTCAATACAGTGTTTTTCAGCTAGATGATCATTCAGGACTGTTAGTAAACTTGTTGTACAGAACGTTTCGTCTTACTTAGGTCTGCAATTAACAACTACTTAACCTTTTCTTTCGATTGAACAAAGAATCTAAAATTCGAATTGATTGAATAAATTGTTACCATTCTTAGCGGAACGAAAACGGTACATAATTCTGATGCCTACGGATTTTTACTCTGCAAGATACATGCAGCGATCATATTTAATAGCTTCTGTTAAAATATTCTTTTAAATGGTGCATTTAAAAAGGCATAACATCACAAAGTATACTTTATTTTAGCTGAATATGGCATACGTTTCCTCACTATTATGTAATTACGGGAATATTATTAGCTTAATGTTACATACACATGTAAATATGTCACAGTGCTGGAGTGAACAAACTGAGAGTTTAAAACCAACAGCTACAAGATATCACAAGTATTTATAATCTTAGGTTAAAATTAGGCTGCAAAATGTACTTACCTTATTTTTTCATTTTGTAAAGAGTTTGCAATAAAGTTGATATTAAATTTGTGAACAAAATACTTTTATCACACTGAATCGAAGAATTGTTCACTATAAGTAATTTTCTGTCTTAACCACAATTGTACAGTTGGGAAGTGTGATATCCTATTATTTTCTGGTCTAATTTTCCGTTCAAGTTTTAAATATAATTAAATGAGTATGTAATAGCTACATAATACCTAAGAATGAAGTTTTCAGTCTTTTAGTGGTGTTTGTTAATATGTACGAGACTTGAAGGAGAGCAGTAGTTAGTTCATACGCTGTAATTCACCCTAAAATCCATCCCTTAATTGCGGTTTTTGTAAAATGCCAATAATGCTCTAAGAAGAATCAATCATGGTTAACGTCTAACCACAAAAGTAAATCACCTGCTCAACAACAATACCATAAGGTAGGCATTTGGCCTGTCATTTATTACTGTTTAATCTTGGAGGTAAGTCTACAGATGCTGAAAGTTGTTTGTTCTGGAACTGATAATGTTTTCTGAGTGGAAATAATCGAATAGAAGACTATGTTTTTGGGTTTGATACTGACGACTAAAAAAGACTTGTCTTGATATGACTTTCCAGTCGGTTGATCACTTTGTAATCATCGCTTTATTTGTCTTGTGTTTGGTGTTGAATATGTTTTTTGATACAGTTATAGTGAGTTAAAATAAATATACACCTTCGTGGGATTATTAGGGTAAGGCCCAATAATCCAGAAGTAAAAGAAAAGACTACCCTGTATGAAAAAGTATGTTTATCGCTAGCCTTGTGATATCGAAATAATGTCAAGACTAGAGTTCAGGAGAGGCTAACAGCCACCAAGGAGAGGAGCAGAATAGGAATGACACGCTTGGCGCATGAGAGATATTCTTTATTACAGATAAACTAGATAGTACAATATAACAATTATTTTCAGAATTAATTACAATAATAAATGTTCCCATTTCAGCAATTGTGTAATCTTCGTGTAAATATACCACTACCCACTACACTACAAGTAAGTCTGTGTGTTTCGTTTTCTTATGTAATGTTTCCGAACTTTTGGTAGCTAGAACAACAGATATTATTCCAACAATTTTCTTGAGGCATATATTGAGGGAACTGATTTCAATATGCGTTTGGATACATGTTGACAATTATTCGATCAGGGTCCGTATCACTAAGCTTCTTAGACCAATGCCAATATTTTAACGAACCAAAATTTTTATAATAGACATTCAAAGATAATGGTTGACATAAAAAATGGTGAACGAGAGAGTTACGTTTAGTGTTTTTTTATCCGAAAACTGAATGGATTTGGTGAGATGCCTCTTTATACATCTGGTTCTAATTATAAATTATCAATAAATTTCCGAATATTAACATATGAACGAACTTGTTGTAGCTCATATTTAGGTCAAAATAACAAAAGTTTGGGTAGTGAAGCAGAACTAACGTTATCAGAGGTAGCTCAAAATGTAGTGAAAAGAGACTAGAAAAGCATTTCTTTATCAAACAAATGATAAAAATCTTTGGTAGAAATTCTTTAAAAGACAAATTATTCAACTTGATAGCATGTATTCTACTGTTTATTAAATGTCTGATTTGATGTTAAGCGTTCTTAATTAGATGAATGAAAGCACTCTTAATTTGGTTTTAGGCGCTTTGAGTTGTACCGGTTATCGGCAAAGTAACAAAAGTTTCATATCTTTGCCTCAAGCTAAAACCTGTTACAATTTTCGAAAGCTATTGCGTATAAAATGAATGCTTCGCACTGAAGTTCCTTGATTTTTAAAGGCTTATTATTCGGCGATAGGGCCCAGTTTAACAAATATCTTAGGTTTATTTTCATTATGGAGAAAAGAATTTGCTGTTTGAGCCTTATCAGTGGTTTTGAATACTGAATTAGTCGTTTTTTACTTGTAGGTTTTTTAAAAAGATGCAGTTCGCGTTACTTCAATTGCTGTTTATTTATTACAGATGAGAGCATATAGTTATTCCACGAAGTGAAAAGCGAAGTAGATTTTTACTTTAAGTCCATTTAATTTACCGACGGCGAGCACTTATGAAACTGTATAATTAATTTCATGAAAATTCTTCGTTTACTGGTATAAGATTCAATAAGTGTGAGCAGACTAAATTGTTTTTTAAAGACGAACATGGTAGTTCAACAATGACTTATAAAATCCGGATGGTTAGCTATATAAAATGTAAGCATATACGCACTTAGTTAGGAAAACATAACTATATTGTCTTCAGGCATTTCATTTTTTCCAATCTACAAATCATACTTCACATCCATATGCATTTAAGTATAATGCTACTTGAATGAACTTCACCAGAGAATTCGATTCAAAAATTAGTATTAATTATAACAGCCATTATCAACATTTTGAGTTGCTGATATGTGATGGAAAAACAAGAATCTCATGTATTTTTTATCTCCTACTAAGTATTGTTATCATGTTTTGGCAAACAAGTGATATGAAAGTGTTTATAAATCTACGAATATGAAGAACAAGGGTGAATCGCACCTTAAATTGTGTCACTTAACAGAAGAAGTTCCTAATCCATCTGAGTCTAGTTATTATCAAAGTTATGATGAAAGCCAATCAGATCTATTGAGTTGCCTAGGGAATCAATATTCGTAGTATTTTTATTACTGACTCCGTTTTATGGTCTCACGTCAAATAAAAGCAGATACTTGCATGTTATGGTTACAATTTTTAACCATACAGTTCTGTTATTACATAACCACCCTCAAACAATACAAGTTATTATTGATTTTACAGTCAGAGTGCATAAAAGCAGTTATGTTCTTGACCTCTGCTTGTGTACTGATTCCAAATGATTTTACAATAAATCTATATACATAATTTTATGTACTCACATAATTCAGTTGATTTGATGACATAACATTTATATGCAACAGTTTAAGTGCACTATATCCCATGGTTAGTAACTATTTGAGAAGCTTCTGATTTACTTTAAACACATGTTTATTGCCAATTATTAATTTTCTAAGATACACCAATCGGATAATAGAATACGAATATATTTGTAGGCATTCATTGTCAAATGACAAAGCAATCTGAATATTCATATGAGGAGTTAATTATTCTTTTAGATACAACAGAAAATTGTGACACAAACGAGTATGTGGAATGAAAGTGAAAGTTCTTTGGCAAAATATGTTTGTTCAAAAATCTAATATCACGACAAGGTAAGATTTTTAAAACAATCTCTCTGACTCTAGTTAGATTCTTAGGAGAGTTATGCAAGTATTTTGATGATTGTGTATTTCCTAGGGTAGATGGATGGATAATTTTTAATTGTCAAATTAGTAAGAAATCACTGAGAACTAGTTTCTTTAATGGCGAATATTTATTTTCACAAACGAGAGTAGTAATATATATATATAAAATACCATGAATTCACTGCATTTCGTTCTTTCGCTCTCTTAGACATAAAAAAATAAATTTAGTTGGTTTGCGGTATTAAGATGAAAATTTTTAGGGTTTTTAAAATTGTATAGAATTTAAACTTGTAACGAAAACTTTGAACTAATCTGTATGAAGAGCGCATTTATGAATCATTACAGCAAGGGTTTGAAGCTTAACCTTTGTATTTAAAAAGTTTCTTTGATCAATCACTACTTCGTTAATGAAAAGAAAATTGTTAGGAACTTAATTTTCGTGTCCTAGTAAAATGTGACTATTATTGATTCAATTGAAATCAGTTTCCTGTCCTGGCTTCTATATTTTTCATAAATCGACAGTCATATTCTGTCGGAATATGACAGAATCATTCATTATAAGTTTACATTCAAATTCATGTTAATGATTTGTGAAAACAAATCTTTTTTTTTAAAATTCCATCCAAATAGTGTAAAAAAAATGAATTTATCAACTCATATGTAGTTGAAAAAAGAAAGACAAAATAAAGTAAATCTATTATATTCTGCAAATATTGTTATTCTGGCTTCGTTTAAACTTGTTCGGTTAACCAATATGATGAGATACTTTCCTTACCAAATAGCTTATTGGTGCTGAACATGACTACAAAGTGTTTCTGTTATGGGGCAGATTCTGAAACGAGCTATTCATATATTCAATAATTCTAAAAAACAAATCTGCTCAGAAGGACTCACATCTCTCTTTCTCTTTTAATATATAAATAAATATCTGGTGAAACAATCACCTATTTGTCAAACACGTATTTGAAATTTATTAGAGTAGAATGATAAAATAAAAAAATAAAATGAAAATTAGGTAAAATATTTGGAAAAACTGATAACCATGAGAGTTATTGATTTAGTGTAAAGATAATTTCACTTTGGAAGGAATTTAATGCGACAAATTTTGAAGAACTCTACACTTTCATCTTGGCATTTAGGTACCAAAGAATGACTTGTTCTTAAGCAAGCATACTACTCAATACTCATTATTGAACTAGGATGACATTTTTCTGTTTTATTTTGAAGTTGTCATATAAAATTACATTACATGAATCTGTGTGCATTGATTTTCATCTTATAACACTAACTATCAGTTGTTGATTAGAACCAATGAAAAATTAATAAAATTATTTTATAACGTAACTATTTTTTCTGATTGTATTTATTTAAAAATACTTATCAAAGGATTAAAATATATGTATGTGAAATGTTGCTTTACTATTCTCATAAAAAGTGTGTATATTAATACAGAACACCAGAACACAACGAGTGGATTTATATGAATGGAAAAATATGCATACAACACAAATAAAATATTGTACTCAGAACCAGCCAACAACAATTACAATTAATTCTTCTATTGATCAAATGGAAAATGAAGATTTAAATAAATATCTAGAAAATGATTTTACTAAATTTTTAGAGATTACTTCGCAGCAAAATTATTTATTTAACTATCAGTCTCCTACATATAACTCAATTAATTCTAGTAGTACTACCAATACTATTAATAATAATAATCCTAATAATAATAATAATATTAATTCTATCACACACAAAATAAACGAAAATAATAAAAATGGTAATACTAATAAAAATATATTGGAAAACTTCAAGGAGTTACCAAAAAACTATGCTAATGATAATCATTCGGAAATTACTCCCAATTGTGATTATTTAGATAATGATCTATCATGGACAAAAGATATATTCAACTCAAAGCATTGTACTACTAGTTCTCATACATTTACAAATGGATTTATACATGATTTAAAAAGGCAAAATTATCATACGATTAGTCATGAATTCATTACTGGTGAAGGATATCAACAATCTAACTACATGTATGATCAACATTTTAATTCTGCACCTGAACAATTGAGTTCAATACCTGATTATTCTATGATGAGAACTGTGGATTATCCTTATATTGCTGATAATGAACATCCATTGTGTTTTAATGAATTCGTTCAGTCAGGTGATACGGAATTTTCAAATTATCATGATAATATTCACATGGACATAAGATCAAATATGTCGTATTTTACCGATACAAGTGCTACCAATGAATCAGAGGATCATAAAATAAGTGAAACAAAAGCAAGGTCATCAATGCTATTTCCAAATGATCATCACTATGCATCACAAACACCAGCTAATGAGAATTTAAAGCCCTGTAATTTGTCAAGTCAGTCAGGTTCCTTTGAGAATGGGTGGTTTGAAGAGCAAAACAGTATACATTATTCTGCTAACTGGTCAGATGATTGGACAAATAATACTGAATCAAACAGTCGACCAAACTATCACTCATGTGATTCAAAAATTATCCCCATAAATTTTGACAGTTTTCGATATTTAGGTAAGTTATAGCAATGATATTTGATTTTAAAACTAGTTGAATTTTTCACGGCTCATATTTGACATGAGTTTTATCTCGTCATTATAATTAATATTAGTGGTTCGCAGATGGCTATCAGTATCATATATCATTATTGTGATATAAAGACGATGATGAAAAATTTGTTGGGCGATATAGTATCTGCTTGGTAAAAATCAAGTTATATAACACGGCATATTAGTACACTATAAAAAATATTTTGTAGCACAGTTTGGCGAATTATCATGAAAGGATAGAGAAGAAACTATTTGAATTGAAGAACAAGAATTTATCAGATTACTTTTTAGATTAAAGACTAACTCTTCTACAAAAGCATCATAGGATTGTCAGTAGTACAGGCGAAACTTCATAAGTGATGTATTAAACATGTAAATAAGGGAAAATATTAGCTATAGTATATAATAGGCTGCATTTCTGTGTTGCTTTATCCACGTTCACTATTTACTCGTCACCACAACAAACGAAGCACACTTTCAAAGGTCAGTGATGTCACCATAAAATTATGTATAAATGTTTATCTCAAACTCTGATGTAGTTTCTCGGATTTTACTTAAGACAGGTATATTGTAATGAACACCTTACCATGGTCAAGAATATTTAGTAAGAATTGTAGCGTCCGAAAGGTATTTTTATTTTTATTGTAATGAATTATAATATCATATTCTACAGTTAAATATTAACACAGCTAACTATGCTCCACATGTTGTGGTATTTTAAATAGTTAATTGCTGCAAACAACATGAATTGCTAAAAAGCTATTGCTAAGATCCTTTTTTTAAATCATAATCTTTTATTGCATGCAACAATCAAACAATGATAAGCAGATTGCATGAATTCTGGTTTCATAAGACTTCAAGACTTTTGTCTTTCCAGGTATTTTGAAAACTGCTTGGCGAAATGGTTGATAGATAAACATTTAAATCCTTAGTTATTAAACACTAAGAATGATCCAAGCGAGAATTAATTTAACGTTATGGGAACATCGTGAATGAAATAATGTTCACTAATGATGATGACTAAATTCATCAGGTTAGAAATAACCTCTTACTATTTTCCTGTAAAAAAATAATAAACAGAGCATCCGCTCCAGAGGTAAAATGTCAGCCTCCAATCGGTAAAGTATTTGTAAAATTTGTAAAATTGGATTGTTCAGTGCCTCTCATTATTTGACAGTTATCAAATCAAAGATCTTAAACAATGTTAACCAAAGTTTAGATATTATGTTATTTCAAAAAGTGGAGTTGCTCTTTTTATTTATAACAGAAAGTATAATACAGTAGGCCAACGAGAAATGATTTACATGAACAGAGCTATAGTACATTAACAGGTACTCGTGTTGTTGAGAGAGTAAACCTGTTTTTGAAAAAAGTTTAGAGGAAGTATATGACGAAAGCGTCGAACACATATTTTTATAAGGTAATAATCAATGCTTATGCCTCATTTCCCTATATTTCAGTTATTTAATCTTTTCTTTGTTCAAGTTTTAAAACATCTAGAGCGGCTGATATCAGTTTATGTTATTTTTGGTGGAGTATCGTTAAAATTTTACGTTGACCAGTTTTTTTAACTTTTACTGTGCCAAATAATAAATGTCGATTGTTCATCTCTTTTAAGACTGATATTTTTATAAATTAATGGTTTCTTTCATCTTTAAATATCAGTATTTATGCTTGCTTTGTTAGAGATAGAACTTATGAATAAACCATGATCTTCTTTGATTAAAATTTGGTTGATTCATCTATTAAGTAAATTTTTCAGATGTCTTCTTTCTGTTTTCATTTCAACTTTCAAATCAGATACATTTTCTGATGTTCTGTTAAATGAATTTAAATTTATTTATGCTTGTACTATGTATGACTAGTGTTGACTTGATTTCGTGCTTTCCAAGAATCTTATATTCTATTGACAAGTTATTTTTTCCTTCTTTTGAAATTACTTGTTCTTTGAAATTACATTTTCTGCGCCTTACTTTTCGCTATGAAGCTCTTCTAGCTATAACACTGAAACTAAAGTCTCTAAATCTGTATTTAAAAGCTGCCTTTATTCATGACAAAATAAGTTCTTTGGCTCACCTCTTTCCTTCGGCTTTGAGGAATCGGAGTTAAGGTTTGGTTCGTGATTCAGTAGTGCAATTACCACAACGTGTATGCTATCCACCCCTTGCACATTTTCCTCAGCCGGATTCTGATTCAGTCTCTGCCACAGTAGGTTGTTGCCGATGGTATCTGGTTAATGGATCCTCACTATCTAAAGTGGACAACCGTTAATCAGTACTTGTATCTGTCAAATGATAGAGTTCATGGTTCTCTAAGTTTCCTCTCCATACGGTAGAACTAAATTGACATACTGGTGGTGTTCTCCTGTATTTGTTGTGACGAGTGGAATAAAAGAGCTAGATCATCTACGAAGTCTAGATCATCCATCTGCATCCCAACTGCTCACTGTATTCCGTGCTTTCCCCAGATGTTGACGTCTTCATAGTCACGTCGATCACCAGGAGAACGAGAAAGGGTAAGAATAAACAACCTTGCCTGACACCGGTATTCACTCCAAACACGTCTGTCATCTGTCCTACACGCACTGCTCTGCAATGTGGTTCATCGTTAGAATTCCGTATGATGTTGCATATCTTCTCAGGCACGCCATAGTGTCGAAGAAGCCTTCATAGTGTTGACCTGTCCACATTATGAAATGCTTTTTCGTAAGCAATGAAGGTGATGTAGAGTGGTGCTTTCACTTCAAATTATTGTTCCACAATGACCCGTAATGTTGTGCTTTGGTCGGTACACGATCGATCCTTACTGAATCAAACCTGTTGATCTCAAAGTTGAGCGTTCACGGAGTGCTTCGTTCTGTTTAGGAACACCCTATTGAGGACTTTCCCTGGTACTGAGAAAGGAGTGATGCCTCTGTAGTTCTAACACTTGTTGAGATTGCCTTTCTTTGCTATCGTGATGAGGTTTCCTTCTCTTCAGTGTTTTGGTACTTGTTTATCATCCTAAATCATACTGAACAGGATGTGAAGTATCTTCGTAGTTACTGCCACGTCTGCTTTTAGTGCATCTGCTGGAATGTTGTCAGGTCACTCTGCTTTGCTGCTCTTCATTAGTCTGATAGCAATACTGATCTTTCTCAGTTGTTGGTGGTCCAAAATCGATTGAGAGGTTCGTAGGTGCTGCTTCGATGTTGGGTGGTTCAGTGGGGCTGATCGCTTCAAGAGCGCTCTATTCACCTGTTTCGCTGTACTTCAGTGTTGTTGACAGCTTTGCCTTCCTTGCTTTTCGCTGGTCGTTCGGGTTTACGATAATTTCCAGCGAGCTTCATTGTTGTATCACACAACTGTCTTGAGTTTCCTTCTCTCGTAGTCCATGTTACTCCACAATATCCTCATATCTGGTGTTATCCACTCTAACCTTGGCGTATAGGTTTGCTATCGGAATGGTCAAATTTTTACTAGGCATTTCTCTACAATTGACAGCAGTGTCTCCTATAATTGATGTTTATCGTGTTCATCGCTGTTGTTGTTGAGTGCATAGCGCGGGATGATATTCATTTTAATGCCATCTTTCTTTGTCTTGAACGATTCATCGATTATCTAATTCATGGTCGATGGTATTCCCATTGTATAAGTTATTTGTGAACTAATTTGGACCAAATCCTTTCAGGTCTTTTTGTATGTAAGTCATTTTCTTATTCACGACCGAAGTACAACACCATCTCTCTTGAAGCTAACTCATTTTTCTAGCCTACGTCCAATATGTTTCACTTATTCCAAGAACCACCAGTTTGTATATTTTCTTTTCTGCTGCAACTGGAATTGTTAGTCCTAACTCCTACATTGTGCGAACGTTTTTGGTTGTTCTGGTTGTCAGAAGGGACTTTAGCCTTGTGCCTTCCGAAAAAACTCGACTTTCACCGTGAGTCATCATAAGTCTTCTAAATGTGGATTTTCCAGTTGCTAGTGCAGAGTTTAAATAATTTGAATTATTCTTCTGCTTAGAGATTTTGTTAGCGAATCGGTTTTCTGTGGGATGAAATCGCTAAATTCATGTCCAATCCTCCACCTTGACCCAGCTTTTGGACTAGAAGTAACTCAAGAAGAGCTCTAGGAGTTGTTTGATGGTATGATAGTAACACTGATTTGAAAAAATGTAATTATTTTGATTCTTAGTTTCTTCATAGTAGTTGAATTTAAATATAGTTACTTACTTGGTAGTTGACTGTCCACAGACATTACTAATAAGTTTTGATTAAACATGTCCTAAAAACTGCTGTTTGTTAAAATTTAATAGAAATAGTTGCTGGTTTTTGTTAACTGCGAACATTGGTTCCATCTTGACAGCCTTACTTTTAATAAAATAATTAAAATCTTACAAATAACTTTTTGTTCCTACTTCGATAATTTCGACTACACAAGCCTAAAGTTAAGTATAATTTTTGTTTCTCTATTAAAGACACCACTTCCTATGTCAATTCTAGAAGTTTAACTTGTAAGAATGACAGTTTGGCAACAAAGAATAACGAATTGGTTGACCATTCATATAAAGGGGCACCATACCTGTCTACTAATCATCATTCTGATGTAGGACCTGAACCATGTAATGAGTTTGACAGTTCCTTATCTCCGCAATCAGAATCAACAAAAGCATGCAGTGTTATTTCAAGTAAGTTCTTAAAAACTGTTTCAACTTTTATTATATCAGTTTTATCGAAAAATTGCTTTTGAAAACTATAAAGAATAAATTTCAATAGATTTTCAATCAATGCTTTTACTGCGTATTATTTTTAAGTACTGAAGTGTTTCCAGCTGAAAACGATGAATAATTTTACTCCTGTTCATCACAAAGGCAGTTGGATAATAGTGCATAGTAGTAAAGCAGAGTGAATTCGACTAAAGCCCTTTTTTTCACAAGAATATAATGTGGCTATCTCTTCTTTTTTGTAACCAGCAAGGATCAACTTTACTAAAATTATTTTCTTCATGAGATATTTGTGGTTATTGTGGCAGTTTTCTGAACAGATTTAAACTGACATCATTAATCATTGTTTTGTGTAAGATTTGTTCCGAACTTTTTATTACTGCTGAATGAAGTTACGAATTCGTCATACAACTGTAACTTCAGATGTTTATAAAGCGATCTTCATTTTGTACCACCGGAGTTCAAAAGTTTTACTGTAAAGTTCTAAGTTATGTAAAAGTTATCAAGCGATTCTTACTGGGTAAGACATTCTATTCCAAAATAAAATTTTCTCACAGAGCATCAAATTCTCATTAGATTCGTTCATAAAGTTCGTCAATATAAAATTGTAAGCACTTATAACCTTCATTTTACAAACCAATTAAGGTTGATTTCATGAATAAATAGATTTTTTGCTTATTGAAATGTTTACTTAAATATCTAATAAACTTGACCAAGCAAAAACAAGCATTTATAACTTTTATTTAATTAACTGTGTATGGCTGAGTGTTGTTTAAAAAGAAAATTTCTTTCGCTGAGCTCTCTTTATTTATTGAAAATTAATTATATGCTCAAGGTTTAGTTAAGTTTCGTATAATAATAGTTTGAATTATTGCACGGTCTGGAATTATTTATTATATTTATTTATTTATTATAACAAATAATATAATTGAACTACAATATTTTTAATATAAACTACAAGCTACATATACTCTCATCGTTTGCGCATAGGGAAGATGAGTAATAATTCTTGATGTGAGCTTGAACTAAAAATAGGCGTATGATTCAGAAAATAGGGAATCATTATATTCGATCAGTTCAAAAAATTATTACTGTTATGTTTTATTCCTTCATAGCATTAACAATATTTCAATACAATTTGCATTACATTCAAGTAGTATATTTGTTAGATAACCTAGTAATAACATCCATAGATATTTTTTGAACTTATTTTATTACTTATATATCTACTAGTGGGATTATGCAATTTTTGAACTAAGATTGAAAACTTAATTAGTTGGTTCTTTACAAAGATGTTCTTTTCCAGTCTCCTTGTCAATCCAATGAAACATAGTCAGATTAAGTAAACATGTTATTGTGTTTATGAGTCTTTACTCTGCTGAAGAAACACTGATTAAACTGAGATGTGAGGTAGTGAATTCTGATTATTTGCAGGTTTTTCAAAAGCCACTAATACATCGTATTATTTACAATAAATCAAGTCCTATTACTAATAAAATGTTTGATATAGATCTGTGAATAACATAAATGAAATAAACTTTTGTGCAATAATATTTCAAATATTTAGTTATGCTGTATCAACTAGTTTTAACATTACCCCACTAATCTATTATATTATCCAGATTCAAAAGAAAATGATTTTGATTAAAAGTCAAGAAAAGACATATTAATAATATTTAGTTGAGTCAACGGGTAAACGTGATAAAGAAAATTGTATTCACTAAATTTTTAACAATTACTGTGAATTCTAATACAAATAAATAATCTTTGTGAAAATCTAACGATCAGTTTAGATATAGAATCATCTATTTCAACTTCATTTTTTTCATTCATACATATTATTTAATTATATTAATTTAGTGTATTTACTCTCTATTCATAACAAGTAATCTTGTAAATATAGGTTATCATTGAAAATATTGAAATTATATCATATTTTTTGTGTCCAAATACTGAATCATAATTATAATAAGTAAATTTAGAATTATGATTTGATATTTCACAAAATTTTAGCGCAAAGTAAAAATTATTCTTATATATACATATATATATATATATATATATATATATATATATATAACTATCAAAATGCATCAGAAAGGACCATAACATAAAGTGATGAATTATTTTATTTCTGAACTAAACTCAATAACCTCTTATTTTCGGTTAGTAGGCAGGTTTTTCTATTCGGTAAATTTATGCAAATACTGCTTATTTAGAAGTTTAAAGGTGAATAATACAAAGAGATGTACACATTTGGAAATAAATCCTACTCATAATTATAAGAATATTAAAGTATAAATTTTTATGAACTCATCTTTAGAATTAGAAAATCAACGATTCTAACCTGAATAACTGGTGATCATAGAAAAGCATCTCATGCGTTCCTATATGAAATGATAATCAATATATTTGAAAATTAATGCTTACAAACTTAATTCATCTCATATAGAAGTCAATTGATGGTCAGTGTTATAAAATTCATCTTAATTTTTCAAAACCTTTATCTTTTGTCAACATGATGGTTTCATCTCAACTGACGCCATATGCTTAAACGATTTGGTTCATTTTGTAAAATGTTCTCAAAGTCTTTTACTTTAACAGTTAAACAGACTAATAGTTTATGTAGGAGACTGTAGGAGATATAGTCAAAACACACATATTTGAAGTGTAAGAAATAAAACCTGTTTTCATTGTGATGAAAAGCTTTTATATAAAGCTGAAACAATAATCTTTTGTCATATGAAATACTTCATTGAAGCGCAGTTTTCTACACTTCTTCAGTAATACGGTACATATAGTATTATAGATAGATTTTAATGTAAACCAATTAGTAATTATTGTATATTTACGAAGAGAAAACATCATAACCTGAAAAATGCTATGCCAATCAAAATTTCCTGTTATATTAAATCTTAGGTTTCGACTTTTAAAAGGATTTGCAGATACTAACTCACTTTTAAACATCATCCAGGTTAATGTCTTCAAATGTTCAAAGATAATTTACCCAATTCATTAGTTCGCAAACAAATTTGTACTTCAGTTCCGATACAATTCACTAGATAGGTTTATTAGTTAAATAATAATTAGGCAAAGCTAAGCAAAAGACGTCGTAACCTCCCTACCTTTTTTTAACAGCCAGATATAATCGACTTTCTTTTGATTAAAATAAATTTTTATCAAATTTCAACTAAATCCTTTGTATCGTGAAAAAAAAATAAAAGAAATGATAAGGTATACCGTTATCACTTCGATAACTTTGATATCTTAACTTCATGAAAGGTTTTTATAATTCCTTAAATGTTTCATTTCAGAAATTTTGAACGACCACTAAAAGTTGTGATACGTTTGATACATTTTCACAAGTTTCAAACTATTTACAAACCTTCATAATTACAGAACTTCGATTACGATTAAGAAGAAAGCAATCAGTGGATTTAAATATCAACTGCATAAATTTTTGCATAGAAGGATATCTTTCACAATGTTATCATTTGACGTTAAAGTAAACACAGTTGATACAATTTTATTTGGTCTTAAGGTTAATAAAAATAATTTAAAAAGTCCACAGGAAACTCTCTTGAAACATTAAAGACTTTTTTGAAGTTATACGGTAATGAAAATCGTAAATGTTACATCATTGTATCCAACAACGGTGTTGTAAAGCGTGAGAAATAATCTAGTCTTAGCATATGTTTTCAACTTAATAAATGAATTCTTATACTTTCCAATACGCAAACTTTACTGTCTATGTAATCTAACTGTAAGCAATGTTACTTTTATACAAACATTGATCAGTTGAACATATTATACATCGTTTTGTATATCATAGTCATCACGAGATTGGTTTGATCAAACCTTCAGTTTTTGCATAACTTAGGAAGTCAAACTAATGAAACTTAATTAATCATTAGATAGATCATCAGCTTCCCTAGAATTCTTAATGAAAAAATTATTTTCAATAAGTATTTAAGACATTTTACCTCTGTATTATAGAAGAGATAATATAGGATCATCGAAAAAGTCATCAATCTGTGTCTACACTAAAATTTCACTAACTGAATTTCAGCATAAGTTGCTTAATTTATGAAAAAAACTAAATATGAAGGATTAAGCATCTAAATAAAAGCTTAGATGTAATTTACTTGGTAATTAGTTAAAAGATGATGATTCCCTTATAACGTTATACTCTTTGATAAAAGCGACAGGTTTCTAGAAACTCAACCAATAACCTTGGGTCTTAATTATCGATAGTTTTTAATCCTTTCTGAATATGGAGATCCTTAGTATCAAGCTATGTATTATATTTACTTAAAACACTTTGACAAATAAGTGAAATCTGAGAAAGTTCATAGGTTGGTTGAAGTTAGACATTAACACCTTTGGATTCCGAGTCATCGGCTTAGAGTTTAGGCATCCACACGCCGGAACGAAGGTCCTTGGTTCAACTCTGCCCATGAATGTTGTGGATGAGCACTGCTGAGGAGCCCCATATTAGAATAAAACAGCCATTCAGGTTTCTAATGGTAGTTTAGCTATTATCAGTTCGTGATTTCAACTATGAAAGTAAGTTTAAAAAGTTGTATTTTTAGTTACAATGCCACAACATTAAAAGTGAATACACTCAACAGTTATGATTAGTGAGCTATACTATGACTGGTTCATTATTATTATTATCTCACTTCTAGGACGACGCCCAGTTAAAACCCATAATTAATAACATGACATTCTTTTGCCATGCAAGAGATCATACATTTTGATTTAATCTCCAATTTCACTGTTATTTATGCAACATAACACATTATCGAAGACAACTGTTATCAGTTATTTTATTTCTGGTTAGCGTTTTTTTTTGGTGAGCTAGTTTTCTACGAGATGGGGTCGCTAACCTCAAGCCCAACCATCCTCCTTTATCCGGGCTTGGGGCTGACAGTAACCCCAGAGAGGTTCCACGTGGAGTTAAC